TTGCCCATCCCGACCCCCCCCCGTTTCGGAGAAATATTGCTCTTTTCTCGCCCACATGTTTCTACTCATGTCAGGTACCCGCTCCGCACTCAGACCCCCCTGCCCCTCGACGAGAATCCTCTCCTTCACTTTGCCCCTCATCAGTGTCGCATCTTCACGGCCGCCACGGATCGTCTACCTGAGCCTTGTTCCTTTTGCTGTTTGCACCCGCCCCTATCTCACAGTTCTTGCGCAGGCACGCGAAGAGAGGGCTCTTGAGTATGGCCAACAGTGGCCGCGACACCAATGGCTCTCAGTTCTTTATCCTCTTCAAGCCTGCGCACCACCTGAATGGGACAGCGGGCATGGTGTCTAGAGCGGCGTGAATCTATACTCGCAGCGATGTTACTGTTGTCGGTTGCCACGTGTACTGGAGACGTGCTTGATCCCCACGCCAGCAACGCGCCATGAAGCTTTGCACAACGCATTGCGCCACCTTTCTCGCACAGTTGAGGGCACCATGCAACGTGTCGCTGTCAGCATGTACGAGTGCTCGATGCGTACACTAAATGGCGAGGAAAGGGTGATGCCACGATGACAACAGTGGAACAAAGACAACTTTAGGCTCAGACAGGGGCTCTAGTGTCCATGCAGTTTCGCAAAGCTTCGTGGCCGAGGCTCGCCGTGGCCAGACAAGCCCCTTAGTTCCTTATTTGGCGTTCCCACTGGCAGCACGATGATTGTAGCGAGGGGATGGGGAGGCGGGGGCGGTGGGGAGGGGAATTGAAATGGCGGGTGGTATCGTGGTATGAGGCTTGCTGGCACTGTGACGGTCGGGCCCGTGGGCGCAGGAACAGCCAGGAGGAGCCAGGAAGCCAAGATGCAGCCCGATGGTGGTAGCGCGAGGGGGAGGATGGGGCAGGGTCCCGTTCCATCCAATCGGTCCGATTCGATATCGGTTCCGGCTGGCTCGATCCGATTCGGTTCCGATGTGCCGACGATTTTGTGCGGCCCAATGCTTACATTGCGTTGTTGTGCATATTTGCGCGGCCGATACGATCCAGCGTCCCGCTTCGATGCTGACGGATTCTGTAAGGTGCGAACCCAAGTGGCAGCCAAGCGACCCAACGGTGGTACACCAGGAAGTTTAGAGAAGCCATATGTGACGAGAATATTCATTCATGGGAGCTTCGCTGGAGCCAAGTGGGCCCCCAGGTGTTGAGGTCAGGTGGCCCAATTCATGCGGCCGATGGAAAGGTGAGGGGTCGCCCCGGGAGGGGAGTGAAGGGAGGCCGGGCTGGGGGTCCGTGGGGCCTTCCTCGGGGGAGGGGGGCGTCGCCCAACCCCCCTTCCCAAGACATCCTATGGCTTGATTGCGAAATCCTTCTGGCCAGTTCTGCCAACCGCTGCGCTTGGATTGTGCTTCAAAGGCCTTGGGGAGAGGTTGGGATCTCTTGGGGGCTTCTTCGGGGCTTGTTGGGGTCCGTTGTGGCCTGCTCTGGTGCGTCTTGGGGCCTCCCGTCGGCCATCCTGGAGGCCTCTTGTGTAATCTTGGGTCGGTTTGGGGGTCTCTTTGGGCCGCATTGCATGCTCGTGCGACCGATGCGGACAGAAAATTTAAATTCACTCAGCCGATTTGAGCCTCTTGTCGACGACGGCCCGAGAACCCCCTCAGTACGCCGAGGTTGACCCAACTATTGCCTTTGTCACTCTAGGGAGAGGGTGTGGGGAGTGCTCCCCCGCGCCCCCTGCCCCCCGGCCGCGCACTGGTGGAGAAGCGATCAATGGGAAGAGGCTGCCCTACGACTCGATGACGCTTTTGTTAGATTTTGCCAGGCTCCCCTTGGGCTGCCGAACGGAAAAGCATGTCGTGGGACCCCCCCAGGACGACCAGCCCGGGAGTCCCCAGCAAGCGCGCCGACTGGGGTCGGGAGAAGCAGCGCCGATCCAAGAAATCCGCGCGGACCTCCGAGGTCACTCCCTCACAGTTGCATGCCGCAAGGGAGGATGCCATAGGGTTCAGGCTTGCTTCATCGATTTGCGCTCTCGTGGGACACAAAGAGAAATCAGCTGGGGGAGCACCCCGCGGGCCCACAATGTCGTCGGCGTCACGATAGGCTCTGACGTCCGCATAGGCTTTGTCCGCCGCGGGTGGTCCTTCGACGGCGCTTCGTAGGCCGCGAGCCCCCCTCGAGATCAGGCGGCTCGGCAACATCGCGACGGCCAGCTTTCCGCTCGCCATGCGGCAAGCGGGTCCTGGGGAAACGGGTCCTGAGGTTTTTCCACCGAGTTCGGGCGGGCTGCCCGAGCCCCCCGCACGGGCCCTGGGACCATCAAAAAGCGACTCAGGAAAAAGAGTTGGTCCAGCGTCCAGCGGGGTCAGGGACCCGTGTCCATCCACTGCTTTCGTTGCATGAAGGTCTTGCGCCGGGGAACGGGACGAGAGCCGACCATCCCCATTTTGCCTCACCGCCACCTCATATCCCCCCTCCCTCCTTCCGATGTCATCCTTCCTCCATCCCTCCTCCCTTTCGCTTCCTCTTCCACTGTTTCCCGCTCTTTCCACCCTCCCCCACTGGTGCCGCCCCAGGGCAAGGGCTCCTGCGCTGGAGTCCTGTCGAGGACCCCCGAGTTCCGAGTTCCCCCCCCCCCCCCCCCCTGCATTCTCCTCCTATCACTTCCCCCCGCTCCCTCCCCTCACTCCTCTTCCCCCCTCCTTCCCTCCCCCCGCGCATGAGGAAGCACGTGGTCTTCGGGGAGCTAGTAGAGGGCCACTCCACCCTGGACCCTCGGCCAGCTGGATGCTCGCATCATTTTCTCGTGTTCAGTATTTCCTTATTCTGGACGCTTCGCGTAACCCCACCAGACCGTCCAGAAACGATGCCCAGACGAGTTGCCCTGATCAGGGATCTGTAGGAGCGTTCAGTGGAGTATCGGACTGGGTAAGACGTCATACTCCAAGAGGGGAGGATGGACGAGGAATCGGAGGGACAGGAGGAGGAGGAGGAGGAGGAGGAGGAGGTAGAGGGGGGGAGGTAGAGGGGGGGAGGGGGAGGAGGGAGGAGAAATGAGGAACAGGCGGATGAGGAAGAAGAGGAGGAGGAGGAGGAGGAGGGCGGGGACTGGGGGCATCTTGAAGCGTCTTTGGTGCCTCGGGGGAGCTTCTTCGGGCCTCTTGTGGGTCTTTTGGAAGCGTCCAGGATTCTTAGGGCCTCTTGGAGGCTTCTTGAGGGCCTCATGGGGCCTCCTGGGCGCCTCTTGGGGCCGTCTTGGGGCACCCTCGGGAGCCTCGGGGGCCATGTTGGAGCTATCTTGGATGAGATCGATCAAAGGAGGGACCGTGCTTAGTTGGCGGTGCCCCCTCCCCGGGAGGCCAACGTGTGTCGAAAACCTCAAATCCATGGTAAAATCAGAGGTTCGTGATTTGTCGCCGAGGCCAGAAGGACGCTCTTGCACCTTGTGCCCACTCCCTTCCAGGTCCCAGGGGAGGGGTAAGGGGAGGGGCAAACCCCTCCCCGAAGGGGAAGAAGGGGGGTTTTGAAGACGAACCACTCTAAACCAGTCACGCCCAGATGGCCGGTGGGATTTTCTCCCCCCTAGGAGGCCCTTGGGGCCGTCTTGGGGCACCCTTGGTAGCCTCGGGAGCGGGCCATCTTGGAGGAGATCAATCAAAGGAGGGGCTGTGATTACTTCGCGTTGCCCCCCCCAGGAGGCCAATGTGTGACCAACACCTTAGGAACATCAATGATGTTTGCTTTGTCGCCAAGGCCAAGCATTACCCTCAGACACCTCGCCCCCCCCCTCCAGGTCCAGGGGATTGGAAGAGGAAACACTCTAAACCACTCACGCCCCAACGGGCTGGTGGAATTACTCTTCGTCGCCGTTTCCCTTCTCGTCCCCTCGTCGTCCTCCTCGCCTTTCATCCTCCCCTGCGGCCTCGTCCCCCTCCTTGCTCATCGTCCCCCGATCACGCCTTTCCTGCCTCTCATCACCCCCATCCTTCTCTCCATACGCCCCTCCTGGCCCCCCTCTCCAGATCGCCTCCCTGCCATCCCTCTCCATCCTCTCCCCCTTGTTCTTGTCATCATCGACCTCCTCCTCCTCCTCCTCCTCCTCCTCCTCCTCCTCCTCCTCCTCCTCCTCCTCCTCTTCGCCCGATTATACAAACTTTACGCCTCTGTCCTTGCCCTGGTCATCATGGAGGCTTTTCAAGAGTTCACGAACGGAAGTGCCGAGATCCAAAGCTACCTCACAGATTTCGTTTGCGTTGCCATTCCGAAGCGGCCTGGCGCCAACAGTCTCAGCCTTGTCCACGACCTCGAACTGCCGCATGAAGACGCCAAGGTCCTTGCAGGGATCTCCACGTATTTGCTTGACCGAGCTGCTTCGGACCAGCTCAGACGGAGGCAACAGGGGTTCGTGACAGGAGGACGGATATATCGGAATGTGATTGATATTTCTGAGGCGATGTCTCGGGCGCAGCACTGCCCCTCGACACTGCGGTTCTCGTTGTTCCTCGATTGCGCCAAAACATTAACCTGTCTTTCTTGGTATTGGGTGGAGGCGATTTTCGAGCACGCCCGCCTGCCGCAGCGAATTGCTAACATAGTCTTTCAGCTGATGCATAATCACACTGCGTGCTTGTGTTTCTCTGGCCACGTCTTTCTTGTTGTTGCTCTGAGCTCCGGATTCAGCCAGGGGCACCCGCTAAGTGTTTCCGTCCATGTCTTCGATGTGGACCCTTTTCTGTACCAGGCCAGGCTGGTGACAGGGGTGAGTCGTGTTTGGAGTTTCTGCGACGATTGGAACCTAGAGTTCGACGGTGTTCTTGCTACTGCTTCCGTGCTTGACCTGATCGGGGGCTTTCGACAAGCCTCGGGCCAACGAATCAACTGGAGCAACACAGCATGGATGCCAAATCGTGTTCTTACACCGATCGAGTTGCAGTGCCTGCATTCGCTTTTTGAGAACCCTCATGTTGTCCGACGGCGCAAGTCGCTAGGCTTCCGGTAGGGGGCTGAAGCCAGTGAGGCCGACGTCGTGGTTGAGCCCATCGCCGAATTATGCCAGCGACTGACAATTTTCAGGCAGGCCAGGGCGGGCCTGGGCACCCAGCTCCTCGCTTGGAACGTACGTATGTGCCCTTCCTTTGGTGTTGTGCGTGATGAGATGCTACTTCAGGGGCGGCGCCGTTGTCACCGAGATTCGCGGTATTGTGCAGTCTTTCTTCGAGCGCGTGAGTTGGTGTCCTTTCAACGTCTTCTGTCATGCTAGAGGGTCGTTTCGAACGCTCGTCGAAGCTACCGACCCTTTCCTGGAAAACATTGCCGCGTTGTTGTCCACGGCCCTCCGGTTGGAGAGTGGCGAGTGCATTGACCGTCAGCTGATCGACGCGTGCGCGCGTGAGCTCGCTTCGCCAGCTGCCAGGGTAAGTCTATGACCGCTCGCAAGTCGTGCTAAGTCGTTCGTGGCGTTCTTGATGATCCAGGGGCGCACCGTCACTGAGGCCTTGAGCGACCGGGAGCGATCCAGCACGAGCAGGGCCAAGGAGGCAGGAGTGTACCAGCACCTGTACAGATGTCTGCACGAAGCCGAGGCCCATGAGGCCACCGCACTCGTCAGGATTAGGCTTGTGATGTCTCCAACCTGTTGTAGCCTTGGTCGCCAGAGGGAATTTCGAGCACCAGGGAAGTAGCGAAATCGGGGGGCTTCCGCGCGTCGGGACCTGGGAGGCCATTGCCGTTCGACACCTCGCCAGCGTGTCGGACACGCACTGTTTCGATGCCTTTTCTGGGCGCTCGAAATTATTTCTGGGATGTGGTCCTTAAGTACGATGGGAGCAGTATGAGATTAGGCTTCGAACTTGCGGTCTTTATTGCACTGTGAGCCGCAATCTGAGAATGCCGTCCAGCATGCCCGGGGAGCACCGCCTGCCCAGCATGCGGAAACTCCTAAACGGAGAACTCACGACGCACAGGCTGGCGCAGGTGCTCGGTCAATGCTTTGTTGCCCTGCTCTTTTTGTGGAGGTGCTCATGGGGATTCGGTGGACCACAGGGAGACCTGTCCTAAAGTCGCCGGGCTCCAAGCTTGTTTTCCGAATCCGTAGGCAAGCCACAGAGCCTCGCGAGATGTGGCTTCAGGTTGATGTGCAGAGCGCTTCCGTGTTACAGTGCGTATTAGCTGTCACATGTGCAGTTGCGCGCCTGCGTTGCATTAGGGAAAGCGAACTCATCCTTTCGAGGCGTGGTCTTGCACGCGAATCGTTTGTGCAACCACTGGGTCACAGGGAGCCCGATCACAACGACCCGCCAAAAACGCCGCAAGATGCGCGCGCACACGCCTGTCTTTGAGACAGGCGTTGTGGCATTTACGTCTGACGGCGCGGCGCGCAATCAGGGCACAGCAATGGCGCGACAATCGTCATATGGGTAAGTGCGCTGCGTAGCTGGGGCCCGCCAGGTCGATGCATGTTACGGCGGGGGGTTAGGAGATGCAGCGAACAACCATGCCGGTTGCGCGGGTCTCCTGAAGTACATGCAGCATGCTTTGGAGAATCTGGCGTGCGTTGTTGTCTTCCATGTTTCTTCTGATTGTGAGCCAGGTCAATGGAGTTCTGAGATGGCGAGATTGGCTAATTCTCTTGCTTTACGAGCGTATCCTGGATTTGCGCCAGTGTTTCAGGCAAGAGCCACCGTCGCAATCCGTTCACATCCTAGACATTTTCGGACATTTAGTACAGATGCGGACGGCGTGTGCAGCGAGGTTTTGGATGCAACCGCACGTAGGGCTCTTCCCGTTGCCCACGGAATGACTTGGAGGCCGTATGTGCGCGCTCCCTGAGATTCGCCCGGTGCCCCTGCCCCATAATGGCTCCTGTCCGGTGTCTGTTGGCGGGGTTGTGGGCCTTCTGCCGCCTGCCTCCCCCGTCCTCCCCCTCTACGACTCGATTTGCGGATTTCGCCTGACGACTTGGCAGCCGCTGAGGGGTGACATATCTTCGAAGGTAGCAAGCGCTGCGACAGCAGCGGCGCTCCGAAACCTAATGCCACATGCCCGTGCACCAATACGGTGGCGGTGTTGTTTAAGGAACATGCCCAGGAGGCTTCAGACCCTGGAGGGTTCATTTACCTGATGAGGGCGGCGGTGATATCCATGGGCAATCCACGATTGGCTTTCCACTGGCTTCCAGACCCTGGATTCCTTATCGAAGGTTTCCTTCTCCAATGTCGTCACCGTGTGCACCACAGCCTGAAGAGCCGATCTGCTAGGGAGTGGGACCCGCCGCACGGCCCGCAACGTCAGTCCTCTGTCTTGTCGAACGTGTTTTGGTCGCCTGGCCACACTGATGCCCTGGTAGGTACAACGTGTCATTTTTCGTGATGCTCCGGGGGAGCACTCCGCGAGGTATTCCGTGACGCTGGCAAGCTAAATCGTTTCAAGCATGTAAGGCTTGATGATCTGCTGGATGAGAAATCGTCTTCGCCCCCTGCCTTTTCCCTATGCTCTTCCTCGCTATCGTCCTTTTACCTTTACCCGCATTATCCTCGTCCCCTTCCTCCGCAGTTCTTCGCCCTCGTCCTCCTCTTTGCCCTCTTCCTCGTCGTCCGCCTCCTCCGTTCTCGTCTTCATCCTTCTCGTCGTCACCACCCTCACCCTACCCACCCTTGATCGCTCTGACCAGACGTCTCTCCAACGCGCTCGCTTCACAACTCATAGTCGATATCATCTTCCTCGTCCTCATCATCCCTCCTCAGTTTCTGCCACTTCACCCGCATCCTCCTCATTATCGATGATCGTCTCCTCAGCATATTTCTCACCCTCTTCACCTCAGCGCGAGCAACTATTTACCGCCGTTGAGCCGATGCAGGTTAGCGTTTGCGAATGCACCGAGAAACGATCCATCCTTCAGCTACTGGTTTTCGAAGTGCGACTGGTATGGGAGGTTTGGTGACCGCACTGCCAAAGTAGAGCCTCCTATCAGTGCTTTTCGGTATGACCGCGTCGCCCAGCCTGTATGTGGCACCTGTCCGGGTTGACACCAGCTAGGATGTTAGGGATGCGTTTGGCAGAACTTGTTTGTTCACACTCTTTTGACCAGCCATGCTGGCTCGCCGACGCAGCCCAGGGCTGGACCACCAGTGCAGATTCCACGTAGGGCGTCCCTTTGACGCTCTCCGGTCGACCCTGGGGAGCGGGGGATTGCAGGAGGACCTCCCAGAGAGCTGTCTGATGTCGCAAACGCCTCTTGCGAGTCCCCGCCGCCCTCCGCGGCCGAGAGGCCCACCTCGGAGCCCCTCGGCGCCTCCGCCCTGCACTGCAGGCGGGTCTCGGGACCTCCCCTGGCTTTCCCTTCGGACTGCGTCCCGTGTCGGCATTGGGCTCTCGCGCGGCCCCCGTGGGCCATGGCCAGACATGATTTGGTCAGAGTGGGGCTCTGTTGGGCCGTCGTGGAGGCACTTCATGGGTTGCGTCGGGGGAGTAGGAGTGCCGTCTTTCGGGACCCCTTCAGCCGTCCTGGGGCTTTCGTGTGCGTTCCTGGACTCCTCCTGATGCCTCTTCGGCCGTTTTTGGTCCTTCTTCAGGCCATTTTCGGCTTTCGCTCCCCGAGGAGTCTTGGAGTTTTCTTGAGCTGAGGAGTAAGGAAGCCCCAGAGCATCAATAGCACCACAGTATCCACTTTTTGTTGATTTTGGGACTCTCTTTACGCATCTGGAGGCCGTCATCCTCCCCTCAAAAAAAAGCATCTGGAGGCCGTCATGGAGGGCTCGTGGTGTATTGGAGTCGTGCCGGTGCCCTCTTGACCGAAGGCCGCGCATCGGCTTCCGCTCGACCCCTTCTCAGTTGCATCGGCTCAGGACGCCATTGAGGGCGTGAAGACGCTGTCCGACGACAAGCCAATAGCTCCGATTGTCACCTCCCGGTGCGGCGTGCTGGAGAGGATGGCCCGCGGGTTGTACAGGGAGGAGGGCGGGGATTGTGATGAGGAGGACGAGTAGCACGAGGAGGGAGGGCGAGGGAGAAGATGACGATGTGGGCGATGAAGAGGAGGAGGAGGAGGAGGAGGAGGAGGAGGAGAAGGAGTAGGATTCAGAGCAGGGAGAGGAGGAGGAGAAGAAGGATGACCAGGAGGAGGGGGAGGAGGAGGAGAACATTGAAGTGGAAGAGGATGTCCGGACGACAGGAGGAGTAGGGGGGCGAAGGGGGAGGTGTGGAGGAGTAGTTGGAGTAGTTGGAGGAGAAGGGGCAGGATGGAGGAGGACGAGGATGCAGAGGGGGGAAGGAAAAGGGGGCGATGGGGGAGGCGAGGAGGGGGCGAGGATGAAAAGGAGCAGGGGACGAGTGGTGTGGGAAGGGAGGATGGAAGGGGGGGAGGGGGAGGAGTAGGGGAGGAGGGGAGGAGGGAGAGGAGGAGGGGAAGGAGGAGAGGAGATGAGGAGGAGGAGGAGCAGGAGGGCCCCTGGAACCTCCCAAAACATATTTGAGAAACCTTTCAGAGGGCTCCGCAACCCGATGAGCCCCGGAGCGCCCCGTAACGTACATCATCCAGCCTCCTTCGCATCATTCCCACGCCCTTCTTTCTCCCATCCCCTTCACATGTCCATTTGTCCTCCTCTTCCCCCAGAGTCCTCATCCTCGTCCTCCTCCTCCTCCTCCCCATTCTCCCCCTCCTCATCGCTTCGGCGCGGGGCAGCGTTCCGCCCACTTCGGGGGGATCCAACTGCAACGATGCAGCGGGCCTCAGCACTTGTGCTCATTCGTACTATTGATTGCGCCCAGGCTTGGTATGGTCTCCTTCACTGCCGTCTTCTGGTCTTCCGTGTCCCTCGCCTCGTTTTTTACCTCCGCCAACATTGCCCGACTCTCTCTCACTCGCACCCTTCCCGCCTTCCTTTCCCTTTCCGCTTGCTCCTCCTCCTCCCCCCCCCTCCGCCAGGAGAGTCGTCGGCATGAGGAAGGTGAAGAGAAAAAGAGAAGGAGCCGCGGGCAAGGACCCGGACATCCCGCACCGAGGGGGGGGCAGGGAAGATCCCGGGAACGGGGGGAGGGAGGCAGGAACAAGTTCGATCCGATCGATCTGATTCGGCACGGGTTTCGGCTCCGATGCCGATAATCCGGCGATCCGATGCGGCCCGAGGTTTGCATGACGTCAGTGTGCATCTTGACGGGTCCGATTCGACTCCAGCTCCGTGCCGATGGGACCTGATCCGATGCTGCATGCTTGTTCCAATCCGATCTGATTTGCCGATTCGATGCTAACCGCTCCATGGACAAGAGAGGGAGACGAGGAGGAGGAGGACCAGTGTAAACCCAAGAGTCACCAAAGATGTTGAAATAAACCCTCCCCCCAAGCTTCCCCCTCATGGGCCCCTACAACGGTTTATTTTTACTGAGGGAATTGCCTCGTCGGAAGACAATCGTTCGAATATTCTAAAGCATGCCAAAACATTGTTTTCGGGATTCCAACGCAACGGATCAACCTGACTGTTTCGTCTTGACTATTCTGAATCGCGCCAGAATGCCGTTCCTGGGGCTACAACACCGCGAATCAACGTAACTGTTGCGCCCTCATAATCCCGTGTCCTTCCAAGCACAATTTCTGGTATGCTGATCATGGGAATCAGTGACATTTTTGTAAATCTGATATACGGGTGTGCGCGGCGCTCAGGCGAGAGCTACATATCGAAAACCACCCGCCCTCAATCCGTGAAGCTCTTGCAAATGTTCAAAACGAAAGCGCGCGGCGCTAAGGCGAGAGCCACTTTCTGAAAACCACCCGCCCTCAATCTGTGAAGCCCATGCAAAGTTTAACGACGAATGCGCGCGGCGCTAAGGCGAGAGCCACATGTTGCAAACGACCCGCTCTCAATCCGTGAAGTTCTTGCATTTTGAAAAACGAATGTGAGCGGTGCTCAGGCGAGAGCTACATATCGAAAACCACCCGCCCTCAATCCGTGAAGCTCTTGCAAATGTTCAAAGCGAATGTGCGCGGCGCTAAGGCGAGAGCCACTTTCTGAAAACCACCCGCCCTCAATCTGTGAAGCCCATGCAAAGTTTAACGACGAATGCGCGCGGCGCTAAGGCGAGAGACACATGTTGCAAACGACCCGCTCTCAGTCCGTGAAGTTCCTGCATTTTGAAAAACGAATGTGAGCGGCGCTCAGGGGAGAGCTACATTTTGAAAACCACCCGCCCTCCATCCGCAAAAGTCTTGCAATGTTTTAGAAGGAATGCGCGCGGCGCTAAGGCGAGAGCAACATTTTGAAAACGACCCGCCCTCAATCCGTGAAGCTATTGCAATTTGTTTTGACGACTGAGCGCGACGCCAAGGCGAGAGCCACATTTTGAAAACCACCTGCCCTCAATCCGCGAAGCTCTTTTCAATTGGTTAGAACGAGTGTGCGTGGCGCTAAGGCGATAGCCACATTTTGAAAACGACATGCCCTCCATCTGTGAAGCTGTCCAATTTTTAAGCTCCAGGGTCATGAATGGTGAGGAAGTCTCGGGCGAAACGCCCGGCCCGCCTGAAACACTGGCCTCGAGGTGCGACACGGAAACTTTTTTAGAACGAATAGGAATGGATGCGTAGGAGGAGGAGGAGGAGGAGGAGGAGGAGGAGGAAGAGGGAGGAGGGAGGAGGAGGAGGAGGAGGAGGGGAAGGAGGAGGAGAGGATGATGAGGAGGATGAAGGAGGAGGTGGAGAGGAGAGGAGGAGCCAAGGAGGAGGAGTAGGAGGAGGAGGGGGAGGAGGAGGAGGAGAAAGAGGAAGGGTAGGCTGAATATCAATAGGGAAAGAGCACTGCAGAGGATGAGGAGGAGGAAGAGGAGGGGGAGGGAGCAGGAGAGGAGGAGGGGAAGGAGGAACGAGGAGGAGGAGGAGGAGGAGGAGGATGAACAGGACGAGGACGGGGAGGAGGAGGAGGAGGAGGAGGAGGAGGACAGAGGAAAGAGGGGTAGGAGGAGGATGAGGAGGACGAGGAGGAGGAAGAGAAGGAGGAGGAGGAGGAGGTGGAGGTGGAGGAGGAGGAGGGGGAGCTGGGGGAGGAGGAGGAGGAGGGGGAGGAGGAGGAGGAGGAGGAGGAAGAATAATGGAGGAGGAGGAGGAGGTGGAGGAGGAGGAGGAGGAGAGGGAGTGGAAGATAGAGGGTGAGGGGGAGGCGGACGAGGAGGAGGAGGAGGAGAAGGGGCAGGAGGAGGGGGGAAGAGGAACAGGCAGGGGCAAGGCGAAGAGATGACGATGAAGGAGGGGCAGGAAGAGGTGGAGAGGGAGTGGTAGGGGAAGAAGGAGGAACGAGGAGGATCGAGGAGCAAGAGAGAGCGATAATCTGGATCAGGAGAATATTCATGGCGATGGTGCTGATGACGATGGTGATGATGATGGAGATGGCGATGGAGATAGTAATGGTGATGGTGTTTGTGATGGCGATGGTGATGGTGATGGTGATGAGGGTGCTGCTGACGTTGACATTGATGATGGTGATGGTGATGACGATGATGGTAACGATGCGGATGATGGTGTTGTTGATGATGCTGCTGGTGGGAATGATGGTGATGTTGATGATGACGACGATGATGATGGTACCGATGGCGGCGACGATGACGGTGCTGATTATGGTGATGATGGTAATGATGATGATGATGCTGATGATGATGATGATGATACTGATGCTGATGATGATGATGCTGATGATGCTGATGCCGATGATGATGGTGGTGATGATGATGATGATGATGATGAGGCGGATGAGGATGATGATGCTGGTGCTGGTGATGATGGCGACGGTGATGATGATGCTGATGATAATGATGATGTTGATGATGATTCTGCTGATGATGATGCTGCTGTGTATGGTGATGGTGATGATGACGCCAGTAAGGATGATGATCGCGATGGTATTGTTCCTGCTGGTGATGAAGAAGATGATGCTGTTAACGAGGATGATGCTGATGCTGCGGATGATGATGACGATGCTGATACGATGATGCTGATGATGCTGGCGATGACGACGATGATGATGGTGATGTTGATGGTGGCGATGATGATGATGCTGCTGCTGATGATGCTGATGACGATGATGATCATGATGATGATGATCATGATGATTGTGTTGCTGTTGTTGTTGTTGTTGTTGTTGTTGTTGTTGTGGTTGTTGTTGTTGTGGATGATGATGCTGATGCTGATGCTGATGCTGATGATGCTGATGCTGCTGCTGATGATGATGATGATAACAATACTGATGATGCTGCTGCTGATGATGATGATGATGATGACGACGGGGAGGAGGAGGCGGAGGAGGAGGAGGAGGAGGAGGGGGATGAGCAGGAGCAGGAGCAGGAGCAGGAGGATGAGGAGGAGGAGCAGGAGCAGCAGGTGGAGGGGGGATGGAGGTTGATGGTGAGGAGGACTTGGAGGAAGGCAGAGCGGGCATGCTGGACTATGTTCCCGTGAGCACACTTCGGCGAGTGGTTCGCAGAAAAGGGATTGGGGGCAGAGGTAGTCTCACGAAAATTTTGCTCTGGGTCTGCGGCGGCACCAGACTAGGGAGGAGGGTGAGGAGTACACATTCAACGGGATCGTAATGATGAGTAGCTTTCCGAGGGCACCCTTCGTGCCTACATCTTCGGCCCATCCTCGGCCGCCACCGCAGGCCAGTTTCGCCCAGCGGGCGTCCAGGATCCTTCCATGATCCTGTTGCGCTGTGGTTTTTAGGCTCGGGGATCGATCTTCGATGATCGTCGGTTTGGGACTGTTTCGCTCTTCCTGGACTTCCTGGGAGAGGGTCATCGTTGCCACGGCTGGGTCCGCCTCGGAAATCTGTCAACAGGCATCCCAGAGCAGGTCAAGGGGATAAGAACGGGAGGAGTATGGAAAGGAGGAGCAGGAAGGAGGAGCGAGGAGGCAGGAGGGAGGAGCATTGACCAAACAGCCAGGACTGCGAGCGGGCCGCCTTTGCAGTCCCTGGATGCAGGCAGGGATTGACAAAGGGAGAAGCCCGTCACCTGAGGAAACCCCAACTCGCAGCCTGTTATTGCGGTTGTTGAACGGGGGCGAACCCTGGCTGGTAACCCACAAGAGAGGCGAAGCAGGACTGGCGCTCTACCTTGGGCATTGCCACAACGCCTGCGGCGGTTGTCCTCGGGGGGCACTGCAGAGGGGATGGGACAGGAGAGGGGTGGGGCCAGCGGAACAGGGGAGGTGAGGTGTGCGAAGTGCAGGAAAAGGGACCGCCGTGGAGTAGGGTCACGAAGATGAGGGTAGTCCTCGCCGTAGAGGAGGGATGAGCACACGATGGTGCTAAGCCCTGGCCACCAGCAGAGAAGGGCAGCGCTCCTCGTGCACCTCTACCCCTCCGCCGTCCTAACCTCCACGCCCCCTCCCCCCCCGCCACCATCTCCTTCCCACTCGCCCCCTCCCCCTTCCTTCCCTTCCCCCTTGGCCCCACAATTCCTTGGTGGGCTAGCGCCGCCACGCACGGTTCCCAGACCATGCCGATAATGCGTGGCCCCAAGATGATGATAGGATGAGGACGTGTGCCAATAGTGGCTGGCAGAAGCCGGCTAGAGTGGCTAGAGCGGGGCTGGTAGCAGTTGGGGAGGGGGGGAAAGCAGGGAGACGGCAAGCTGGGGTGATGCTGCGGAGCGGGCGAGCGGGGTGGGCAGGGCAAGGGGGGCTAGGGTGCCTGGGTGGGGGGCAGCACGCGGGAAGGAGCGACCTGGGGCATGCCGCGCCGTCCTAGCATGGTGTGGGGAGCCCCCTGGGCGCGCTCGGGCCTGCCTGGGCGCCTGGGTGGGCGCAGACGGGGGAGGGGGGGGGCTGGAGCCGCCCGTGGCCCCGTGGCCCCAACCACCTCCCCCCCTCCTGCCCGCCTGCCCCCTCCATCCGCCAGACAAGGAGAGAGGCTGGTGGAAGGAGGCAGGAGGAGACGACGACGCCGCCGTGGAGAATATGATCAAGCTGTCTTTCGTGCCCGGAATTTCCGCGAACCGATTTCGATCTTACGCTCGAACTGCCTGGGCGCGCGTCTCGTCCGAAGCTGGTCGCGGTCAAAACTTGCCGGATGGTGAGCCAGGTCGGAAGAGGAGGCGCGTACTTGACAGCCCAGAGGAGGGCGCCTGCTTGGCAACCCAGAATGGGGGCGCCTACTTGACGACCCAGAGGGGGCGCCCACATGACAATCCAGAGCCCAGAGGGGGGCGCCTACTTGACAACCCAGAGGGGAACGCCTACTTGACAGTCCAGAGGAGGGCGCCTACTTGACAACCCGGAGGGGGTCGCCGACTTGACAATCCAGAGGGGGGCGCCTACTCCTACTGGACAACCCAAAGGGGAGGGCGCCTACTTGACAACCCAGAGGGGAGCGCCTACATGACGACCCAGAGGGAACGCCCACTTGACAACCTAGAGGAGGCGCCTACTTGACAACTTAGAGGGGAACGCCTATTTGACAACCCAGAGGGGGGAGCTTTCACGACAACCCAGAGGTGGCGCCTACTTGATAATCCAAAGGGGGTGCTTACTTGACAACCCAAAAGGGGGGTGCTACATGAAAGCCCAGAAGGGGCGCCAACTTGACAACCCAGAGGTGGCGCCTACTTAATAATCCAGAGGGGGGCGCCTACTTCACTGGAGGAGGAAAGGGAGGACGAGGAGAAGGACGAGGAACATGAGGAGGAGGAGGAGGAGGAGGAGGAGGAGGAGGAGGAGGAGGAGGGAGGAGGAAGAGAAGGAGGAGGAGGAGCAGGAGGAGGGAGTAGGAGCAAGAGGGAGGAGCAGGAGGAGGTGGAGGAGGAGGAGGAGGAGTGAAGGATGGATGGAGGACCTCCCAGCGAGGTGGCATGGTGAGGCTGCGGGCACAGCTCGGGTCCCAGTGGGCGTCAGACAGCAGCCCAGCAACGCCGACCCAGGGAGAGGCGTGCCCTCTCGAAAGGGGGCGCGGGGCGGGAGGGGGAGGGCAGGAGGTCCATAGTTCCGTCATGCCCAACTCCGACTCGAACGCCTTGGCCTCCTATTGGAGATGGGCACGCGACATCCCGGAAAGCAAACGCATGGACACAGAGAGAGAGAGAGCGAGATAAAGAGAGGATAACAGCAAGACGACAGAGAGAGAGAGAGCACGGCACATTATCATATATATATATAGTGAGATAAAGACAACACATAAAAGGAGAGAGGGAGAGAGAGAGGGAGAGAGAAGAACACAAGGCTAAACAAAGAGAGAGAGAGAGAGAAAGAAACAACATACAAAAGAGTGGAGGTCCTTCCGGGGAGTGGACGAACGAGGTCCTCCCGCAGGAAGCCTCGCCTGATCTCGACCCCACCCCACGCCATCACACGGCGCACGCGAGAGGCCCCGGGCTAAAGGGAGAGAGGATGAGACCCCGAGCCCAGCAGGCTACTGATGCCCGCTTCGCCCTCGACGGACCTCTGCGCCTGACCCAGCCCAGAATCAGCCTTCCCAGCGCCATTCAGCCCAGCCACGCGAGGCCAGGGCGGGAACGAGGGGAAAGAGAGGGAAGAGGAGGAGGAGGAGGAGGAGGAGGAGGAGGAGGAGGAGGAGGCGGAGGGGGAGGAGGAGGAGGAGGAGGAGGAGGAGGAGGAGGAGGGAGAGAGGATAATGAAGAAGAGGGCAAGAGGGAGGACATAGCGGGGATGTGGGTGGCAGTGGGAGGAGGGAGCAGGATATCGGGTGGTAGGACGAGGACAGAGGATTGAGGATGTCGAGTTAGGTTGTTCGTACTCTTTTTTTGTGCGTCTTCGGAGGCTTTCGGAGGATCTGGACGTGGTTCGGACAGTTTCGCTGATTTTGTCAGGTGTCTGGACGTTTCCGAATGCTTTCTGGTGGTTTCTGGATACTCGTGGGGGAGGAGCAGGAAGAGGAGGAGGGAAAAGACGGAGGAGGAGTTCTGAATTGGTGGGGTAGAGGGGCGGTGGCGAGGGTCATACCAGACAGCGCCGTCGAAGCAAGCGCAGCAGAATCTATGATTGTCCTTTCCCATTTCTCCCTCTTCTCCTCTTCTGTGCTCATCCATCCCCCTCTCTCTCTCCCTTATTATCACATCACTCCCATGCCTCGCTCCATCCACACGAAAACTCTTCGTTGTCCTCCTCCCTGACCCCTGGTCGTGTCTTCTCCTGCTCATCCACCTCCCCATCCTTCACCTGTTTTCGTGTTAGACAGTCCCACCGATCTCGCGCTCCCACTCGGGAACCTGGGAAATGGAGTGGCTCGTATCATCCACCGTTGGGCTGGCCAAACTCGCCACGAGCCGACATTTCGCATACAAGCCAGGCGTTGGATTCTGCGGTGACGTTACGTACCGCCCTGCGTCTCTTGCCTTGCCGCCACAGGAAAGCAGCTCCTCGTCTTCGAGCTCTTCCAGAAGCGGCCTCAGTCGGCATTGCCCACTTATCGCGGTGCAGATTTCCTCCGAATCTGTGCACGCCCAGGACCACGCCCCTGAGTGGGAATGTCCTGGATGTCTCCAGAGACCCTCTAGGGGATTCCTTTGGCTGGCCTCAACAGGCCTCTCGATGCCCAAAGAGGACCAAGCACACAGGGCCAATAGGCGCACCTAGAGGGCGAAGACGGCCAAAGATGTGCCGTCCTGATTTTGCTCACGACGCAGTGTCCTCGCTCCCTCGCAGGCAGCGGCCAGGCCACCCAGTAAGAGGCCCAGACCAGAGGCTCGAGGCTGGGATTTACACATTTCCACCGCCTAATGAACTGATTCCAGGAACCCGGGAGGCATTCTTTGGTTGAGTCCTGGCGTTTGTTCTTTATGTCGGCCTTCGCAGGCTGCTTTCGGGCTCTGCGGGACCATCAAACATGAATTTGGCATGAAAACGGCCCCCAGGGGAGGAGGGGCCCGGAAACTCTTGGGCCGCGGATGGAAAAAACCGTATCGGCGGATGATTGGGTATGAGGTATAGGACATGGACACATTCAGGCCCCCTGGGGCCTACATATTTGTATCCCTAGACATCCGATGTTTAGATTTGTTCACTACGGGGTTCCCAGAATTCTTAGAATGAAGGTCATATGCACAGGTTCTGGTATGTGGAACAGTTTCAAAGTAGGGAAAATTAGGTTGCGAAAATAGATTGTTATCACATCTTCAACATATATACATATACCATAGGAGTAGGCCCGCCGCAGGCGCCGAATCTACCACCAGACAACCAATTTCGATCGCAAGCCCGCCGCAGGCGCCGATTTGGATTGAAACCTGAACCAATATGAGGATGGCGAGCCCGCCGCAGACGCCGATTTTATCGCCAGAACGCGAATTCTTGTCGCAAGCCCACCGCAGGCGCGGATTTTTCATTGAAGCGATAAAAAACATGAGGGCGGCAAGCCCGCCGCAGGCGCCGATTTTATCGCCAGAACGCGAATTCTTGTCGCAAGCCCACCGCAGGCGCCAATTTTTCAGTGAAGCCTTAAATGGAATGAAGATCGCGAGCCCGCTGCAGGCGCCGATTTTTTCAAGAACCACGGGGAAATCGCAAGCCCGCCGCCAGCGCCGATTTTTTCTTGCACCGAAAGGGCCCTTCCCCTCCCACGACGCCGCGGAGGCCCCCCCATTGGCGGGCCTGCCGTCCCCCCCTTGGCCGGAAGAACGAAGAAATAACGGAGCGACTTGCCGACCCCAGAGCAACCAACACGCGCGCGACTTGAAACGAATTCGCGTGGGCGGAACCCCCTCCTCACTCCGATGTTGGCCTCTCGGGGCCTTCTTCGGAGGACTCTTGAGAGCTCTTGCGGCTTCTTTGGGGCCTCTTGCGGGCCCTCTTGGGGGCCCTTGTTGCCTCTCGGGGCCTCTTTGGGTGGGTGGGGGGGGGGGATTTTCGCATCCGGAGGGATCGCAAAATTGCTTCCCACAAATCATGCGGAAAGGCGCGGGGAGCCCCAGAAGATTTCTGAGTTTGGGCTCCAGGTCCTTCAAAGAATTTTGAAGACAGAGGACTGAGGCTCAAGAGTGAGGTAGATGACGTCGGAACACGCCCGCTCCGTGCCTCAGGGCGTTGTGGCGCTTTGGGTCTTGGAAGACCTCTGGCTATCTGGAGCCGTGTCGCGGGCCGTCTTGAGCCTTGCCGCATGTGGGGACAATTTTTGAGCCATCGTGGGCGCTTTGATGGACCTGCTATAAGGGGGGTCCGGGACAAGGGTCGCGCCCATCCCCGACAAGGAATTCGTTTGAGAAAGCAGGGGTCGCCGACAGGGCCGACGGGATGCACTCTTGGGCCCCGCTACAAGAGTCACGCCGCCTCGTTTGCGACCCGCGCGGCTGCGCGCTTCGTTTGGCGTTGCGCCCCCGCCCGCCCCCCCGCCCGGGACGGCCCGCCTCTCTACCCAATGGTGTTTGCGGCAGGGGGGTGGGGCAAGGCTCTTTGGGATGGGGCGGCAGCAATCCGCCGCAGGATTCCCGGCGGCGTCGCGCTGTTTCACCTTGCTCCGGCCGGCGGCCCCGGGGAACACATCATTTCGTTTTTTTTTTTTTTTTTTTTTTTTTTATATATATATATATATATATATATTCTTTCTACAATTTCAATCGCCTCGGGTGTCATATGTTTCACATTTATTGTATACTTTGTAGGAACAAATCATAGGCACGCCCAGCGAAACCTATTTTTGTATATTTCCCCGCTAATTGTTGTGTAACATTAAGCGAACAAATAGCGACAACGTAGCGAAAAAATAACGAAAAACAATGCGCGGAATTGTCTGTTTCGGCCGCCGAAAAAATAGCGAGACAATATGTAAAAAATCGGCGCCGCACAAGTCCTCGGGGAATGCACCTTTTTTCCCGCTTTTTTTTCGTTATGTTTTCGCTATTTCTCTGCCCGCCCCTCCTCCTCCTCCTCCTCCTCCTCCCCCCCCCCCCCCCTCCGCCTCCCTCCTCCCCCCCTCCCTCCCCCTCCCCCTCCTTCCTCCTCCTCTTCCCCCCATCCCCCCCCCCCCCCCATCCCCCGAGATTCGGTCTCTTTACAACCAGAACAACCACTTTACAACCAGATGGGTTACTTTACAACCAACATAGGATGGGAAAGTATGGTTTTTCATCGAGAACGTCCACTTCGCAACCAGAACGGCCCACTTTACAACCAGAAACGGACCACTTTACAACCAGAGCGGGCCACTTTACAACCAAAACGGACCACTTTACAACCAGCTCAGAGTGGCCGCGCGTGTTTGGGCGTTCCGCAATGTGCCCCAGAGCCAGTGGGCGCTCCGAAAAATGCCCCAGAGCAAGTGGGCGCTCGGAAAAATGCCCCAGAGCAAGTGGGCGCTCTCAAAAGTGCTCCAGGGCGCGCGGGCGCCCTGAAAAGTGCTCCAGAGCACGTGGGCGCTCTGGAGCCCGAGCGCCTGAACGCCCTGCGCAGGCCCCAGCGATGCCTCTGAGCCCGAGCGCCTGAACGCCCTGCGCAGGCCCCAGCGATGCCTCTGAGCCCGAGGACCTGGGCGCTCTGCGCAGGCCCCAGCGATGCCTCGGAGCCCGAGGACCTGGGCGCTCTGCGCAGGCCCCAGCGATGCCTCTGAGCCCGAGCGCCTGGACGCTTTGAGCAGGCCCCAGCGATGCCTCTGAACCCGAGCGCCTGGACGCTCTGGCGCCCTGGGCCCAGCAGACTAAGACAGGGCTTGCTAGCAGGGGCCAAGCGGCCTCAACAAGGGCCCCGTGCTCGCACGGGAATATGGCGACAGCATACGTAGGAAGGCTCAGGGCGACGCGCTGCCCATTTTAGGGACCACTCACAGGAAGCGAGCCCAGTGGCCTCCACGAGGGCCCAGCGCTCCGGGGAACTTGGCCATTGGCACCGCGGGTGTCTTGCGCCACGTTGGCCCCTGAAGCCCCGCGGTGTTCTGCAAGGGGCTCAGTGCCCCAGCTCCAATTGGCCCCCTGCTGCTCCTCTTCTTGGAAGATCGAGGTTCAACGTTCCGAATAAATGCAACTATTTCGAAGATCGTTCCTTCCAGCGTCAGCCACAGCGCCAGCGCAGCAACGCAGGCATCCTGCTCGGGCAGCAGCCCCAGCCACCGTGCCAGCGCAGCAGCTTGAGCCACCGTGACAGCGCATCACCGCCACCTTTGTGCCTGCTACCACCAAACTTACCGCTGCAGCCCCGCTACCTCCACAATTCCGACTGACCCCCCGCTACCACCGCAAATCCCATTGCAGCCCAGCTACCACCACAGTTCCCACCGCTGCCTGGCGACCACCACAGTTGCCACCGCAGCTTCCCAACGCCATGCAGTTCCCATTGTAGCCCCCGCTACCACCGCATCTCCCACTACAGCTTCCCACTCCCATGCAGCTCCAGTCTTGGACGGGATCATGGTTTATTCGTACGCCCTGCGCGACTAGCCTTCGCCCGTCAGAATAAAAAGGCAGAGCAAGCAATGGCAGAACTGACCGACAGAGCTTAGAGAGCAGGTCAAAACCTTAATCCGCCCACCAGCACGCAACATACCATAGCGCACCAGGTCGCCGCATCGCCAACGCGTGCGCAGTGCTTCTTCGTGCGCGATGGGCAACTTTACAACCAACATGCCTCAGAGAGCCCAAAGCCACCCTTGCGCTTGCCCACGGAGATTCCAGGGAAAGGCCCGCGTGCATTCAATATGTGTTTTTACTTGCCCGGTTGTAAAGTGCCCTTCCTGGTTGTAAAGTGCCCTTCTCGGATTTTGTAAGCTGGTTGTAAAGTGACCCATCTGGTTGTAAAGTGCGCTTCTGGTTGTAAAGTGACCCGCGCGCCCCCTCCCCCCCCTCCCCCCCCACCCCTCCTTCCTCCCCCCCCCCCCGGCCATGCCGCCCAATAGGGGGGCCTCCGCGGCCTCGTGGGAGGGGAAGAGGCTTTTTCTGTGCAAAACAAAAACCGGCGCCTGCGGCGCTTGTGATTTCCTCATGGTTCTTGAAATAATCGGCGTCGCTCGTCATTTCATTCACGTTTTTAATGGCAAATCGGCGCTTGCGGTGGGCTTGCGCCATGAATTCGTTTTCTAGAATTTACTTTCTGGTGAAAAAAATCGGCGCCTGCGGCGGGCTTGCCATCTTTATGCTTGTTACGGCTTCAGTTTTAAATCGGTGCCTGCGGCGGGTTTGCAATCGGAATTCGTTTCCTGATCATAAGATCGGCGCCTGCGGCGAGCTTGCCGTCTTCATGCCGGTTTTGGCTTCAATGCAGAATCGGCGCTTGCGGCAGGCTTGCAAACAGTATCCGCTTTCTTCCTATACAGAAATAGCGTCGTTTGCGGGCTTGCGATATCAATGCTGATTTTTGCTTTGATTCAAAATCGGCGCCTGCGGCGGGCCTGCGATGAGACCACAGCGATCCCCGCCAAGCCCAACTCAGCGCCTTCACTCCTTTCCGCATCAGCGGGGGTGGGGGCTGGTGCTCGTGGATGCAGCAAGCCTGCTGCGGCAGGGCTTCCACTCGTGGGGGATGCTCGAAAAATGTCCACCCCCTCCTCCTCCTCCTCGTCTTCGTCCTGCTCCTCCTCCTCCTCCTCCTCATTCCCCTCCTGTTCTCTTCCCCCTCCTCCTCCTTCTCCTCCTCCTTTCCTCCTCCCTCTACCCCTCCTCGTGTTCGTCGCCGTGGTCATCCTCGTCCAACTCCTCATGTTCTTCCTCGCCCTCCACTATCAACTTCTTCCTCCTTCTTCTCCTCCTCCTCGTCCATATCCTTCCCCTCCTCCTCCTCCTCCTCCTCCTTCTGCTTCCTTTGTTTCAATGCGATTCGCCATGCGATGTCACGCAACCTCTCCGGCTGGAACTCACTTTCTCCTGACAGCTGCGCCGTTGCAGTTTCTTTCCCTTCTCTCTGCTTTGCCGTCGTGTCGCCGCCGCCGCTGCCGTTACATTCGGGGCTTTGTATATGTTTGTTATTTCTGTAAGAACATACGGCAGCGGCCTAATTTTGACCTGTTTCACATCACTTTTTTCCCCCTCCATATTCTAAGATGGGGTTCTTGTTATTACTTGGGCGCCTCCTACTCCTCCTCCTCCCTCCTCCTCTTTTCTCCTCCCCTCCTGTCGGACTTACTCATACTCGCACTTGCTCATACTCATACTTACTCATACACAGACTTACTCATACACAGACTTACTCATACTCAGACTTACTCATACTCATCAGATTTGGGGGATGTCTCAAGCGGGGCGCTGGTTTCAGCACCCCTAAGGGGAGCCGCCAGGGGTGGTTACACGGGCTCGTTCGCGGCCATTTTGTTGGGATGTCTCAGGCGGTTTGCTTGTTTCTGGGCTCAACATCCTTTGCTTGGATAGCAGATTGTGAGGATGTCTCAGGCGGGGAGATGGTTTCAGCACCCCTAAGGGGGGCCGCCAGGGGTGATTGCACGGGCTCGTTCGCGGCCATTTTGCTGGGATGTCTCAGGCGGTTTGCTTGTTTCTGGGCTCAACATCCTTCGCTTTCGGAGCAGATTTGGAGGATGTCTCGAGCGAGGCGCTCATTTTCACCCCCGAGGTGGGCCAGATTTTGAGGATGTCTCGATCGGTTTGCTTGTTTTGGTGGCCAGGCTCGTGGGCGCAGCACCCCTAAGGGGAGCCGCCAAGGTGGTTGCACGGGCTCGTTCGCGGCCATGTTGTGGGGATGTCTCAGGCGGTTTGCTTGTTTCTGGGCTCGACATCCTTCGTTTCCGGAGCAGATTTGGAGGATGTCTCGAGCGAGGCGCTCATTTTCACCCCCCAGGTGGGCCAGATTTTGAGGATGTCTCGATCGGTTTGCTTGTTTTGGTGGCCAGGCTCGTGGGCGCAGATTCTTCTCAGGATGCCACAGGAGGCTCCAACAGGCTCCAGGAGGCCCCAGGGAGACCACATGAGGTCCCAGGAGGCATCAGGAGGCCACAGAAAGACTCAAGAGGCCACAGGATGTCCCAAGAGGCTCCAGGAGGCCCCAGGAAGCTCCAGAAGGCCTCAGGAAACCACAGGAGGCCCCAGGAGGCAACAGGAAGCGCCAGGAGGCCTCGGAAGGCAACAGGAGGCCCCGAGAGGCCCCAGGAGCAGGAGGCCTCAGAAGGCAACAGGAGTGGTTCCAATCCCATGTGTTTTACGTATGCTCCTATCGATTGGGCCTCACCTGGAGCACGATTCTTTGATGTTCTACGTTTGTTTCTATAGATGGTCCTTCTCCTGTGTACACAATCCTAAATGTGTTACTCATGTTCCTATGTATTGGGCCTCTCCTGGGGCACGAGTCCTTGGTGTTTTACGCGTGTTCCTATAGATTGCCCTTTTCCTGTGGCTCTAATCCGCAATGTTTTATGTACGTCTGTTGCTATAAATTGCGCCTCTCCTGGGGCACGAAACCTTCCTAGGAGGTCCCAGGAGGTCCCAAGAGGCTCCTGGAGACCCCAGGAAGCCCCAGTAGGTTTCAGGAGGCCCAGGAGGCCCCAGGCTCATGCACAGAGACGCGCTCGTACTACTGAGGCTCATTCACACTCCAATTCATTCGCAGTTAGATTGATGTCCAGACCGTCACAACTGAAGCCCGTTAATTTTCGAAAGGTCTTGCGCCTAGACACTCACGGCGGACAGGTCCATGCGAGTAGATGCACATATGGGGAGTTCCACGCAGTGAATAATTTCTACATTTTTCATGCAATGAAGCTGTTTCCTGGATTCTGAGGCTGTCCATTAGTAGTTGCACTTAAAAGAATTCCCAAGTCCCGACCCTCCCCTCAGGACGGTCCCAGGCCCCTCGCAAGGGCCCCCGGAGGCCCAGCGGCCGGGAGGCAGAAAGAGATGACGGACGTCCGTTTTGAGTCACCCTCAGACGTTCCCCGTCTGAGTCCGACGCGCTGGGTGTTTTCGTGCACCGCCCCCCCCCCCGCCCAGGCTGGCCCTGCGAGATCAGCCGCCGCTCGTGGCCGCCTTGCCGTCCTCGAGGGTTCGAGGGGCCGAGGCTGCTGCAGCTTTTGGGCGACCTTGGCCGTCCCGCCGCCGCCTGCTGCATATTCGGGCCGTCCCGCCGCCGCCGCTCGCCGCCGTCGCCGCTCGCCGCCGCCGCTTGCCACCAGCCGACCTGCCGTCGCCGCTTGTCGCGGCCGCTCGCTCCTCGTCGTTGCCGTCGAGGAGTTGAGGATTCGGACCGTTTCCCTCGCTGGCGATTTCTCACCCCGGTTCAAACTCCCGGGTTTCCCTCCCAACAATCTGGTTGCCAGAGCAGGGAAGCGAGCCCAAGGATACCCCCCAAGGGGCTGTTCGGACGCACCTCTGTCGAGGAGGAACGCCCTCCCTCGTATATCACCGAGCTGGCCACACAATTTGTTTGCGCAGTCGACAATCCCGCATCACACAAAAAGTCTGGGATCAGGGTTGCCATCATTAACCCATACACCCTGTTATTTTTTGGGTCGGGTCAGGGTTTTGGACGCTCGAGGTTCGGACGTTCCAGGTGCTCGAGCTTTTTGGCGTTCGAGGTTTTGGTTTTCGTCCGAGGCGTTGGCTGGTCGATCTTTTCGAGTGTTGTTGGTCATCTTCGACCCCGCAGGTCGAGGCTTGAGGCGTCTGTGCGTTCTGTGGCGCTCGTCGGGCCGCCAGAGACCTCATGGAGGGCCTCTGGAGGTCTCTGGGGGCGGAGGGTGACGTCGATCGCCGTCGTCGTCGCCGTCCTCGTCTTCGTGGTCGTCTTGATCCGCGTTGGCGTCGTCCTTGTCGTCCTCTTCTTCCTCGTGTTCGTCTTCGTCGTCCGTGGTCGTTATCCGTCGCCGTCCATCGTCGTCGTCGTCGTCGTTCTCGTCGTCGTGTTCGTCCTGATCGTCGTCCTCGGCGGTCTGGCGGCGGCTCTCCGCCCTCGCCGCGACGCAGAGATGCCGAGGCAGCGGGAAGAAGAAGAAGAAGAAAAAGAAAAAGAAGGACAAGAAGGACGCCATTGCGAGCCCGGACATCCATCGTACAGTCGGGGCGTTGGACAATAGGGGCAGGTCGGGCTCGGAAGGGGGTTGCCGTTCCTTGGCCCCCTCCACGGCAGCTCCTATGGCGCTCCTGGTGCATCCAGGTGCTCTTGTGGCGAAACCGGCGCTTCGTTTGTCACTTCGGGTTCCGTGTGGTAGTAGCTTGCCTGCCTTGGACAAAATGGCGAAGGTGTTTCGTAGTGTTCGGCCTTCTGGGGGGCCCTCGCCCCCAGGGATCGTCAAGAACGGCCCAGGATGAAGCGCCGGCACTGCGGAAAGTGTCGGGATTGATAAGGTGTGTGTGTGTGTGCGTGTGCGTGTGCGTGTGCGTGTGCGTGTGCGTGTGCGTGTGCGTGTGCGTGTGCGTGTGCGTGTGCGTGTGTCCGTGCGTGGGTGTGTGTGCGTGCGTGTGTGTGTGTGTGTCTGTGTGTGTGTGAGCGTGTGTGTGTGTGTGTGTGTGCGCGTGTGTGTGTGTGTGTGTGTGTGTGTGTGCGGGTGTGTGTATGCGGGGGGGGAATAGAACCGAAATTTTGGCATAGGATGTCTGGGAGCGCGCGCGCGCGCGCCCGCGCGCCCGCAGGGCACTGGCCTCGTGCGAGCACGTGTGCAGGGCGCGTCTGAACATGCTTTCTGCGCATGCCGACGTTCCTGAACGCACGCCGCTCCGCTCCCCCCCCCCCCTCCCCCCCCCCTTCCCCCCCCACCGGGATCGGCGGCGTGTCCAGGGGAGACGTGAGAGGGGGCAGGCCCTCTCAGAAGGCGACGGCCCCCCTACCGGGATCGGCGGCGAGTCCAGGGGGGAAGTGAGAGGGGGCAGGCCCTCTCAGAAGGCGGCGGGGCTTCTCAGTAGGCCTCCGTCCCTCCGTCGCCGGAGAGGGCTTGAACAGCTTATGGCAGAGACTATTTCTGAATATTTTTGCATGTTTTAAGCTATTTTGGATGTTTCGCCCAAAGTCCGCCTGTAGGAGGACGTGCCCGACCTAACCCTCGTGTGACCATGCACGCTAGCCCTCCGCATGTGCATCCATCGGCCATCGGCTTCGCGTAAGACTGAGTCGGGCATGTCCCTCTACAGGAGGAATATTCAAAGATAGTCGAACATAGTCTTGGGACGATGCTTCGATTTTTTTTGCGCAGCGTTTGACTATTTCTATTTTTGTTCCAAGGTCCGCCTGTAGGAGGACATGCCCGACCTAACGAGTCCTCCGCATGTGCAAATATCGGCCATCGGCTTCGCGTAAGAGTGACCCTTCGCCGGAGTGACCTTGGGTGCGGGCCCACAGGGGTTCCCCCAGCACTGGTTTGAAGCGGCCCCCCGTGCCCAGAGGCGCGCGCTCAAGGTCATTCTTGACGAGGGCCCGAATCCAGCGTGCAGCGCCCGTGTGCCGCACGTGTTGAGTCTGGCCGCGTGTGTTTCCAGCCTCCTGGTGCAGTCCACTGTCTAGCGGCGCGCCGCGGCGCCCCCGCGGGACAGTCGTGACCGCGCCCCTCAATTACGCCCACCTTTGCGTTTTGCGGTTAATTGTTGGACAGCGAGCGTGTGCCGAGGCTGTGGCTTGGTAAGGCGGGCTCTTGCTTCGTCGAGCAGCGACGCCGGCGCGGGCGTTTAACTAGTCTTGACCGCCGCCGGTGGGCTGGAGCATGCCGGTATCGAACGATTCGCGCTGTTGGATGGCTGCGACTTGTCAAGGTTGAATTACTTACGTTGTGTCAGAAAACCTAGCCGACGCCATCGCGACACGAAGTTGCCTTAACGGTTTCTTCGGGTAGCGTATTCTAGATCATCGCGCTGATGGTTTATGTTGATCTGTATGTGCAATTGGATGAGCGGCAACACATCGCTGCACATCGCCATGCTTGTTACTCTCCAGAGCTATTTGATATGGAAACATAGCCCAGGTGTGGATCGCCATTTGTTGTTCTGCCAGCGGCGGACCTCCAAGGCGGCATTCCATTTCCACGAATTGGCTTTCCTGGACAGCGCGCACTTTCTGGGCCCTCAAGAAGTAAAGCCAAATTTGTGATGAACGGCACTGTGCGCGTGACCCGGCCTCGCTCCAGTTGAGAGCAGACGCCCACTGCATGCGTCTGCTCCTCGCTTGGCCGCCTGGCTTGGAAAGCACACGGTCACTCGAGATTCTTCCTTCAGCCTGTTTTCATTCGCTCGTCAATCGAACAAGAAACATGTTGCATCAAGTGAATTTGGTTTGCCTCTTGTGGCTCACGCCGTAAGTCGCCGTCACCATTGTCGTCGCCACCACAGCTCATCGCAGACATTTTTGTGCCGAGAAGGACCTACACACCTCCCTGGTAGCTACTTCTGGCCCCGCGCTCGCGCGCGCACGCTCCCCCGCAGTTTCCCGAGCCGCGCAGAGGCCTCTGCCAGGCGAGCAATTCGGCGGCGGGCTCGGGGGGAAGTGAGAAGGGGCGGGCCTTCTCAGAAGGCCCGGAACTCCCCTGGTATTCTTGAGGTTTTCTCAGCCTTCCCCGAAAATTTACAAGACAACCTCTCCGAAGACCAGAGGGCTTCTGAGAAGCCCGCCGTGTTCTGAGCAGGCCTTCTCCTCCTCACCTCCCCCCCTCGCTCGCCGCCGAGCAATGCTCAGCGCTCCCGTGCGCCCCGCCGGCACGGACCCCGGCGACCCGATGGCATCGTTCGGCTTCGGGGGCCTCGGAGGCCTGACCGCCGCCGCCCCGCTGCGCGGCCCTCCGGGCCCCGGCCCCGATGCCCCCGATGCCCCCGCCGCTGCCGCGCCCGGCGGCCCCCCGGGCGGCCCCGACTGGCTTGGCGGCTTCGGGGGGGTCCCCACCGCCCCGAGCTTCGGCGGCGGCTTCGGAGGCACCGCTCCTGCGGGCGGCCCCCCGGGCGGCCCCGACAGGCCCGCGAGCTTCGGCGGCGGCTTCGGAGGCACCGCTCCTGCGGGCGGCCCCCCAGGCGGCCCCGACAGGCCCGCGAGTTTCGGCGGCGGCTTCGGGGGCACCGCTCCTGCGGGCGGCCCTCCGGGCGGCCCCGACGGGCTCCACCAGCAGGGCTCCTTCGGCTTCGGAGGCGCGCCCGCGGCAGCCGCAGAGGCCGGCTCTCCAGGCGGCACCCGCGGGCCCGCGGAGCCCTTCGGCTTCGGGGGCGTGCCCGCGGCCGCTGCGCCCGCCGGCCCTCCGGGCGGCGGCTTCGGGGCAGTGCCCATGATGGGGCAGACCTCGCCCGCTGCCGGTGCCCAGGGGTCCGAGGCAATAGCAGGGGGTGGGGGTAAAATGTAGGCTCAGAGGGTTTTCCAACACGGGAGGTTTGGTTTTCGGGGCCCCGGGGCTTCCATCAGCTGTGCCTCGCCGCGGGAGAGCCGAGGCATGACCCGAAAACGAGGGGCAACGTCAGGGAGAGAATTCAATTGGCGTTGTCGTCGGTTCTCGGCAGTTTTCTGGCCCCCGGGTGCGTTCCAACAGCTGCGCCTCGCTGAATGCCAGAGAAGGCAGCCAGAGAGCGGGGTTCTGACTTGAGAGCCGTGTCAGGGGGGGCATCGACCCCTAATCGCTCATAGATGGCCGCTAGGGGCCCGACAGCCCAGGCCGCCCAGGAACGTGCGATTCCACCATCGGGGGCTCATCGCTCATCTGATCAATCGGCGATCGATACATCGCCAATTCCAGGTCGATGTTCGTCCCCTCCATCGCCGCTATAGTCGGACCGAGGTATCAGATCGAGGTCGGTTCAGGGAGGGTGCCCTCGTGTTCTTCGTGCTTGTTTGATGTTTTTGACCACCCTGAGAGGGTATCCTTGTGTTTTGGCCGGCGCAGGGTCTCATGTTCTTGAGGAATGTTATTTCTGCCTCGGTCCGACTGTACGAAAAGTTCGGCTAAAGTGCAGCGCTTCCCGTAAGTCGACGTGGCCCTGGTACAACGCTGTCAGTGGCGTTGCGCCCGCGACAAGAGAGGAGACGCCAAAGGGGCCCCAATAGGCCACGGGGCCCCAGTACAAAGATTTGTGCAAGCATTGTTTTGCTCAAGTCTCGGGCGGAACCGCCATGTCTAACTCGAACCCGATGGTTTCGAAATCCAGTCGAGATCGCTTTCTGGAGGAAGTTCCAAGCGAACACCACACTTTCGTAATCTCTGGCATTGAATTAAAACTTGGCATGCAAAACGTTGTGCCATTTCGAATCGACGGTGTCGCTTGAGACCTTATCAAAAAGCCGAACGAGTTGGCAACTTCACGGGCTCGATTTCGAAATGGCTCTCCCACCCAAAACTTCCTCCTAACGAGAATTCGAAACCTTTCGGGTTCGATTTCGAAGTGGCGCTCCCTCCCCCGAAACAAAAATCTGAGCCTTCCGGTCTCGACTTCGAAATTATTATCCCTCTCAGGATGTCCGCGAAAATAGACGTCGGTACTTCTTCAGCTCGAATTCGGAATGGCGCGCCCGCCTAAGACGTGCCTCTGTGGAAGCACCGAACGTGTCAACACTTTCGTAGCGCCCTGACCCGCCCCGACCCGCCCCGGCACGCCGCCGAAGCCCTCGCGAATGACCTGATACGTGAGCTCCCCAGTTTCGCAGACTGGGGGGGGTCCGAGCCAGGGCGCGGAACGCAAGATGGTATTGCGCGCACTGCCTGGTTCACATCTGGGACGCGCGGCTATCCGACGTGCAGGCGATACTCGCCAATGATGGAACATTGGTATACCCAGGAGACCCGCCGACGCGCGACAAGGTTGGCCCCGCGGCCAGTCTCAGCTCCAATCCGCTGTCCGCCGACTCCACTCCAGCAGAGCCAGCATCCAGGACCTAGGCAAGGGCCGGGAGCTAAGAAGGGCAGTGTAGGCGGTCATTCTCGCCATGACAACCAATTTGGACCCGCTCATGCTCTGGGCAGACGCAGCTGACAACAATGACACAGACAATCTCCTAGTCACGGCCAGCAGAAAGCAGAGGCCAACAGCTCTGCCCGACCAGGATGCGAGAGCAAGAATGGCGCTAGACGTCGCGTGGCACGATCGCCACAAGTCAGCTCCGAAGCCAGCCCCGCGAGGGCGCGACGGCGCACGACGCTCATCAGGACGGAAGCGCAGGCGCGTACCCGCTCTTCCCATCTCAACCGAAGGCGCATCCAGCAAGGCGTCCCCGCACTGAGGGAAGTCTGGCAGAAACCCGGGGGCGGCGGGCGGACGCGACCAGCCGCGCGCGTGCCAAGACAGGCTGCGGCTGGCGACGGCGCTCCGGTTCCACAACTGGCAAGGGCAGAGACACAATTTGTCCATCCTTCCTTCCTGCCGCCCGCAGGAGGCGGCCCCCCCGCGCTGCTGGAAGCGACCTGGCGAGGGCTGGTAGTTCCCCGCGCACATGCCAGGACCCTCAGAGCACGTGCGGCCAGACCACCGGGGCCCGCTAGTACAACCAGAGACTGGCACGATGGGGAACAGGACGGTTCTTGGATGCTTACCCTGCCCGCACCTGCCTGCCGCCATCGCTGCTCGAGACCCGAGACCGCCAACTCTGTGAGTTCATGCGCATGGAATTTCTGGACTTGGTCGGATGCGTCCGATGCAACTACGGCCCCTCAGTCAACCTGCGCTGGGGGGTCAGTTGCTGCGCCGGGTACCTGGACAAAGACAGCGACAATGCAGCGCCAGCAGCCGCGGACACGGACCACCTGAGGAACCTTCTTTCGACCTTGTGGGGGCGGCGCGGTGTTCGATGCTGGGCAGCTGCTCTTGACGAGTGGACCTGGAGGGTGACCTATTGCAGGTCAGGTGCGCGCACCTGGTCGAGTGGGCGATTGGACCGGCCCGGAGGCAGCGCAGGGCTTGGGGCGAACATCACCCCGCCCACCCCAGCGGCGTCGACATCCTCGCCGATTCCTTGGGCGCGCTCGGTCACGACGCGCTGCGGGCGCGCCCTTCCCAACGGATTCTGGCTGGCGCGCAGGCCCCCAGACGTTGCCCGCGAGCCGCTCGCCCCCCGGCCTGCTTCGCCGCCAGAGCCCCCCCCCTGCGCTAGCTGACTCCGTGCCGCTTAACCCTGCGTGCCGGACAGTGGCTTCGCTAGCGCAGCCCGACGAGATCCGGCCTGCCCCGCGGCGCGACCGTCGCAACCTCCACTGCGACATCGACAAGGCATGGCGGGGCATCGTCGCGGAGCGGCGCGCCAGTGAGCCAGAGAGACGCGGGGCCCCGATGGTGAACGCAGGGCGATGGGCTCGCGACGAAGCCTTCGACTTCCAGGCCGGCGCGACGCCCCCAAGCGGGATGCTGGACACCTTCCCCCCTGGAGCGGACGGCGCGAGGCCCTGGCGGACGCTGTCGCCCGCGGAATCACGGACCAGGGCATCTCAGACAGGGGCGGGGGCAGAGGCGACAATCTGCGGCCTGCCTGGGGGGGGCAAGGCAGCCGCGATGGGCGCGGGCCCGCGCCGTTGCGACGCCGCCGCGCTGGCCGTTTTACTCGGCGGCCAAGGCGTCCGCCGCGCAGACGCAGCCAGGCTGGCCAACAACCGCAGGCCCGACGGGGCGGAATTCGGCGCGCGCGCGAAACGACGACGCCCGCGCAGACCGCGGTCGGCCCGAGCGCCGACCCAGAGCCCGACGGCCGCGCGACCCAGGAAGGAGCTTACGGGCCAACGCCCCGGAGGAGGCACCCGCATCTGGCGAAGCAAAGCTGCGCGGAGTTCCGCCTGGAGGGGGCGGCGACCAAGCCCTGGCTGACTCTGCGCGGGCGGCCGAGGTCGCCAGCCAAAGCCCGGGGCCTGGGGGCGGGGAGATCAGCCGGCACGCCGCGCCACGCCGCCCCGGCCTCGCCCTGCCAGCAGGCTGACGAACGCGCCCCTAGCTCCGGCGGAGACGCGCGCCTCGCCAAAAGGGCCCCCCCCCTGGGCAGCTGGCTAGTGCCCAGGGATTCACCAGGGCCTTGCCCCCGCCGCCAACCTGCCCGGGAGACGACATCCTTGCCGGGGACGACGCCTGCGCGCGCAGGGCTGCCCGCTGGCGCGTGCGGGCCGACAGGTGGGGAGCGGCTGCTGCCTGACCCCAGCCGGGCGTGGTCGCGGGGCCAGCAGCTGGGGAGACGAAGGTGTCAGTCCCAGTGGGGCTCCAGGGGGCGCGGCGACCAGCGGGGGCGGCCGCGGGGCTGGGGCGCGCGGGGAGCAGCTAGAGAGTCTGCGGGGTGGAAGGGGCGGGGCGACCCCCAGGATCGCCCGTGCAAGACGCGCAGACGCAACGTCCTGTAGCCGCCTCAGTGGGAAGATCCGGAGGGTAGACTCAAGACCTGGAGTGGGGCGGGGGGGGGCCGCGCCAAGCTGGCCTACAACTCTCGCGGCCACGACGAATTCAGCCGCGGCTTCCTGGGCGAACTGGCCGAGGCCAACTTCGACATCCGCGCCCTGCGCCGCAGCCGCGACCCGGGGGTCGAGCGGAACGCAGTTTGGCAGCAACAGCAGAAGCACCAGAGCCAGGCAGCCGGGCGGGGGCACGGGGACAAGCGGCCCAGCGAATCGACTTGGCCCGCAAGGGACCAGCCCCGATTACGCGCGGGCTCTAGGGGCGACGGTGCCCACTCGACGCGACGACGACCTACCCTTACTGCGACCACTGCGTGGTGCCTTCCACCCCAGGAGGTCCCCGCGTCTTTTCTAATTGGGCCCTTGCCGATTTGCCTTTGCCGCGACGACCGACGACTGCGAGGTGCCTTCCACCCCTGGAGGTTCCCTCCGCATCTTCTCTTCATCTGCGCGCGCGTCAGCTAGGCGTTTCGTTGCCAGCGCGCCGCCCACCCACGGGGGCGCGCTTCGCCGGGCGCCATCCCCCCTCCCTCGGAAGGCGCGCCGCCCACGTCGCATCTGCCCGCGCACCCGTCAGGCGCTTTCTTTCGGCGCGCCCCCACCCCGGGCGGTGCGCCCGCCGCCTGGCCTCAGTCGCGCCACCCACCCCTGGTGGTGCAGCTTTCCACGCGTCCACGCGCCAGTTGGGCGCTCTCCAGCGGGCGCGCGATCGAGCCCCAGGCGGCGCGCCCACGCCTGGCCCCGGCGCACCCCGCCCCAGCGGAGAGCCTCGCCTGCCCGCCACCGGCTGGCCAATGCTTGTCTGTCTTGTAGACGTTTCTCCAAGCGCGCCTGCTAGCTTGGGCTGCGTTCCCCTGCGCGCTGGCGCGGCAGCCCACCCGCGCGCTGCGTCTCGCGCGTCTTGGGGGCTCCCTGGTCCGCGCGGCGAGTTGCCGCTGGCTGCTGGCCACTCCCCCCGCCGCGCGGGCGCGGCTGCCTACGGCGCCACGCCCGCTCTGCCCGCCGTCGGTCGCCGCCGAGCTTCGAGCGCCGACGCCCCAGGCCCCGCCTCGGACGCACGGCGTGGAGTGCTCGCTGCCCGCCCGCCCCTGGGCTCTGCAGGCGGGCCGCCGCCCCTGCCAGCAGCCTGCGCTGCTTCCGCGTGAGGGGGCGCCGCCATATAGTTTCTCTCGTTGTTTTTGCTCCCCCTCCTGTCCAGAGCCCCCGCCCGCGCCCGCGCCGTGGCTGCAGTGCGTGTGCCAGCCCTGAGCGGGCATCTGCTTCTCCGCCCCCACATGCCCCCCTTGCGTGGCCTTGGCCCACACCGCCTAACTGCCTTCTGGCGCTCAGCCTCCGCCGGCCCCCCCCCCCTCCCAGCCGCGTCGGCCCGCCCCCCGCGGCTGCCCGGCGCCTGCTGCGCCGCGCTGGCCTTGCAAGCCCGCCTCCGCGGGCCCCAGCTGCCGTCCCCTCGCTCCCTCCGCCCGAGCGCCCTCGGCCCGCCGGTCGCTCGCCGCTCCCGCCCCTCGCTAACTGGGCCCTGCCCGCGCTGCGGCTGCTGACCCCGCCCCTGGGGGCGCCCGTGACGCCGCTCCGCGCCGCTGCCAAGGGCTGCCCCGCCGCCTGACTGCCGCGCGCGCTCCCAGCGGCGCTGCCGCGTGAGAGCGCCCCCCTGTCCTTCCGCCTCCGCGACCGCCTCTTTTTTGCTTTTCCCTCCCCTCCTCTTGCACGCGGGACAATTCGCAATGCCGTCGCCTGGTTCCCTCGACGCGCGAGCGGATCTGCCGCGCCGCGACAGAAAAAACTCGATTTAGAAATGGCGCTCCCGCCCAGGACCTCCTCGAAAATAGGGGTCGGCACTTCTTCAGCCCGAATTCGCAATCGCGCGCCCGCCTAAGACGTGTCTTGGTGGAAGCACCGAACGGGTCAACATTTTTGTAGCGGCGATGAATCGTTGGCCTTATGGGGAAAACGACACCGATACAGCTGCCTTTGGCTCGTCGCCACGGTTTGGTACTTCTCGCAATCCTCCTGGTCAGAGCGCAGAGCACGCGCCCCAAGAGAGGCCTGGGAAATGGCGGTAACTTCAAGAAGGCATGAAGACCCCCCCTTTCCGGTGGATTATAACGCCCCCGCACCCTGGAGCGTTATGGCTGCACTGGAGGACCTGGCTGCGGGGACCCGGGGCCTAGCTAGGGTTTCACAGTGCCCAGCAGTGCCCAGCTGAGGTGATCAGGGGTTAGCAGAGGTGCGTAGCAGGTCCCTTAGCAGGGCTCTCAGCAGCTCTTAGCAGGGCTCTTAGCAGAACTCAGCAGCATCTTTTTAGTTTTCAGTTTGCGGCGGGTGCAAAGTTTTTCGTTCTGCGAAAACTGCCCGCCTGGAATATTGAAAAAGCCGGGTGCTAAGACGAACCTGGGGGGGCATCTTAATGCCTGGTCAGGGTTAAGTATTGGCATCTTCTTGCCCGCTCCTCAGGTGCAATGGGCGAGGGCGGCCCATTCGACGGCGGGTACCCTTTCGGGGCCGCCGGCCAGAACGGTTTCACGATGCCGGGCGTTGGCCCGGCCATTGCCCCGGCGTACGGGTTTAAGGGGGACGTTGGCGATCCGGGTGCCCGCCGGCCGGCCACGGGCATGCAGGGCTTCACCGCGCCGTCGCTGCAGCAGGACTTTGCGGGGGCCATGGCGCCACCGACGACGGGCGGCCGCGGATTCCTGCCTGCCCCCGCGCAGCCGAACGCGAGCGGCACGTGCCACAGGTGCGGCCAGGCGGGGCACTGGGCGCGCGACTGCCCCAACGCAGGCGCGGGGCCTGGCGCGGGCGGCGCGGGGTTTGGTGCGGGCGGCGCGCCGCTGGCTGAAGGTTTTTTTTCTTTTCGATCCCCTCGATCCTACATCCCCTGATATCCTGTCAGTTCAATTTGTTTGAGTTGGGCGCTTTCGACGGGATTCGTGTCCTGGGACCCTTCAAAGCGATCCGGCTCGACAAATGGCGCAGAAAGATTGGGCCCAGGGTTCCAGTCGTGATTCTTCACGGTGTCCCAGTTTTTTCGAGGCGTCGGGTCCTAAGGTCCCACTCCCCGCGTCGGGCGGAGCCAGAACGAGGATGACCAGGTAAATGGCGTAAGAATCAATGGGGGGCCAACCTCGCCGACACTCACGCGCGCGAGCTGCCCTTGGAAGGTCGCGCGAGCAACCGCCCTCCCCTTCCTTCTTAGCCTGCCGCTCTGGCGGCCTGTGCGGGCCACCGCGCAGGACTGCTGCGTCTCCTCGCGCAAGACCGTGCTGGGTATAAACACAACAACACATAAGAAAACAACGCACACGTGTGGAACAAAAACGTATGTGTGTTTTTGTTTCCACAGTGCTTTTTTCCACACGCGCACACACACGTCTCTTTATTTAAAACGTGAGACCCTTCTCCGTGCGCCGCTCAGGAGTATACGGTCGGGACCAGAGTTTTCAGATAGCGTGTCGCTCCGCCAGTTCTGGCCCACCACGTTTCGGCGCGGCGCGCTAGACACTTCCAAGTTCCCACAGCTTCTATTTCTCGAGCCGGTCCGAGACTTCCACGCCGCGGAGCGGAGCGAAACGCTATCCGCTTCCAGTGCATCGCGTGTCGCCGCCGTCGCGACCCGCTAAGCAAAAGTCCCCCACATGCTTGTGCCCAGAGGAAGATTTCCAACTCCGGGCGCCATCAAACACATTGCCCAGGGCAAAAACAGATCCCCCCAGACATGGCCGGGAGTTCCGTGGCCTGCGTACTGAAATACACAACCCATCGGAGGTACGGGTCATCCTCCATTTCTGTCCTCGGTCGCCCCCGCTGGATAGCTTGACCGGCCTGCGCTCCTCGAAATGAAGTCAGGACACGAAAACGTAAACATCCGTCTGACTGATCACCGCCATGCTCCATTCGAAAACAGAAGCACCCCCCACACACACACACACACACACACACACACACACACACACACACACACACACACACACACACACACACACACACACACACACACACACACACTTACACACACAGCAACGCAACGCAACGCAACGCAACGCAACGCAACGCAACGCACGCACGCACGCACGCACCCACGCACACACACAGACACACACACACACACACACAGACACACACACAGACACACAATTGTTACGTCGCGGAGCGGCAGAGGCGATCCGCTCGCGCGTCTAAGCAACCCGGGCTACGGTGTTGCGATGTCCCACATGCAAGAGTAGGGGAGACTGAGAGGACCGGCCGCAGAGACAGGAGGTGGGAAAAACGGCGCTTGCACGCGGAGAAACACACAAACAAACATCGTCTTTGTGATCGTTTTCTTATTCATTGTATTGCCGATCGGGGCGGCCCCCCCCCTTGGAGTGGATCTTGGCTGTTTTTGGCGCCAGTTTCGAGCAGGGCCTCCAGGGTGCCCTGGGCTTCTTGGGCTTCGATGGTTTTGCCATAGAGTGCATGACGCTCCCACGCCAAGAATCCATGGACGTTCTGAGGTCTCAGGGTTGGGTTTCTTGCGGATGGTTTCTTGTGGTCGGGCCCCTACTGCATGTGGAGCGTTCCGAACAGGGCCTCGCTCTCGAGGAGAGGAGGAGTTGTCGTCTCTGCCTCGGCGGAGGGCGGCGGAGGCCCGGCGTAAGGCGGCGGAAGTAAAGCGAGGTCGCCTCCGCCAGCGGAAGGCGGCGGAAGTAAAAGATGGTCCCCCCAGAAGGCGGCGGAAGTAAGAGATGCACCCCCAAGAAATGAACACGTTTTTGGGGGCAGGGCTTCCCGAATCCGCCATCTGTGTATCACTGCTGTCCTGCTGGTACCGACGTCGACATCGTCCATCGCTCGATTGAGCTTCGAAGAGGTTTCTGCAGCCAGGACCCCAGGTAATGGGACCCAGTTAGTGGTAGGGCCCCAGAGCCCCTAAATTGGCCAGAATCATTAAACCAGGTCTGCCGTAGCTGGTGTTTTTTCGGGTGACGGCAGTTCCGATAAGTGGAACGAGGCGGGGGGGGGCGTCCCCCAGTACACATCACTAAACCAGGTCCCACGAAACCCAGTTCGGCCAACGCCCGATTCTGAAATCCTGTGTGATGTTCTTACTCACTCCTTCGGCGCCCGAGAAGGCCCGCCTTGCCCCTGCGGCGCTGGGCCCGCGCTCGTGCGGACCGCCTCGACCGCCGCGAACGCCGGGCGGCAGTTCGCCAAGTGCCCCCGCTCGCAGGGGGCGGGGGACAACGGCTGCGGTTTCTTCCAGTGGATGGACGAGGCGGGCCAGCGGGTCGAGGAAAGGGCTGAGAAGGAAGCGGGGGACGAGGATCGGAGCTCGAAGGGCGGTTGCGGATCCTCTGGTGCATCCTGGGGCGTTCTCGTCACCACGGCTGGATCCGCCTTGAAATTCTGGTCGGATCGCAGCTCGTTTTTGTGGGAGGAGGAGGAAGACAAAGACGAGGTGGAGGAAGAGGGGGAGGACGAGGAGGAGGATCATGCATGCAGAGAGGGGCGCAGAGTCCGAACGGGAGGAGGAGGTAGAGGAGGAGGAGGAGGAGGAGGAGGAGGAGGAGACGAAGGAAGAGTAGGAGGAGGAGGAGGAGGAGGAGGAGGAGGAGAATAAGGATAATGAGGAGAAGGATGAGAGGAAGCAGAGGCGAGGAGAAGGCGAACGAGGGGGTCCAGAAATGAGAATGAACCTCCTTGCCCTCCGACGCCGTGGCGAGGTGGGGATGGCGTCGTGGATCGGGAAGGTTGATCTGTTGCTGCCGTCTCTGTTTGTCTGCGGCCCTGGGTCCATGTGTTTCCCGCTTCGGGTAGAACTTCACTACGTACAAAGCCCCCCCCCCGCCCAACCCGAAGGCCCTGGACCAACCCAAATTTCGGCTTGGGGGTGTACGGGTTCAAACGTGTTTCCTCGATGCTCTGGGGTGCCCCACCCCTCTGAAAATCGACGTGCCCAACTGTTACTGCGGGTTGGATTGGGGTGGTTTGTTAGACAGTCAGAACTCCTTGCGGTGCACGATCCGTGTGAGAGTATTACGTGTGGACGACCGCGGGGGTACTTTGTGCCCTTGTGCCCTGGGGCCATCGAAGACCGATTCGGTGTGTCGGTCGAGCATCAAAATCTATGTACAGCCAGATGGTTGAGCTCGCTCGTAGATCCCAGGAGGTGGGCCTGAGGGTTGGATGTTACATTCCCGTTGCTCCCGTGGCAGTGTCGCGCCGTCCCGTAGAAGTGTCGCGCGGTACGTTCCCACGTTCTCGTATAATTGTATTGGCAAGGTTGAAACAACATCCGCCCTGTCCAGGTACAGTATGGGCGTACATATAGACAGGAATATGCATATATATATATGTGTGTGTATGTGTACATACATGTATATAAGTGTATACATATCGAACACGGCTCCGGCGAATCACCGCCGCCCCATGCCCGTCTGGAAACGCCGACGTGGCTGAACGTAAGGACAGAATCCGAACATCCATCAAAGCCAAATCGGCAACCACTCATTTTGGCTTCCTGGGGGCCTCCTGGAGATCTTCGTGGAGCCCTCTTGGGGCATCGTGGGGGCCTCATGGACCGTCTTGAGGCCGTCTGGTGCCTGCTTGTGGCCATATTGGGCCGTCGTGGAATCATCTTGGGACCACCGTGGACCCTCGAGAATCTTAACAAGTGCCTGCCGGCTGGCTTCAACCCGCCTGGGGCGGCTCAGCCATTTCGCCGCCCCAGGGAGGCTTATAAGTGGAAGACGCAGCAACCAGTTTTCGGAGGAAGCCAGGCAGGAGAGAGGAGACAGTTTTTCGGTGGGGGTCGCAGGAGGCGAGAGGAAGCGCGGGCGAGGGAAGAGGGAGAGGGGCGAGGCAGCAGATGAGAGGAACACGTGTTCTGTCGGGCTTCACAACGACGGTCCACGAGGCCCGCAACACTGCCCCCAGGCGGCCCAAGAGCCCCCCCCAGGTGGCCCCACGACGGCCGTAGTGAGCCCCGAGACGGCCCAGGACGAGCCTCCCGACGGCGACGGCGACGGCGACGGCGACGGCGACGGCGGCGGCGGCGGCGGCGCGCTGGCCCGAGGCGGGCACGGCGGCCGCACCGCCCCCCGCGCCCGCGGCGGACGGGCCGCCGTGCCCGTGCGGCGCGGGGCCCAGCCTGGTCGCCACCGCGCGCAGCGCCGCGAACAGCGGGCGCCAGTGCCCCCATGGGGGGGAGGGGCAGGCCATGTGGCGAGGTCGACGGCGCGGGTTTAAGCGGTCGAGGCCGAGTTGAGTTTCTCAGTGCTCTGGCTTGTTCCTCTCGTTTCGGCATGCGGGGGCCGTATTCGGGCTCCGCGGCCATGGAACGCTGAGCCGGTGCGAGAAGTTGTCCCTGGCCGGGAGGGACAAGCACGGTGTCACCGATGCGTGTTGCTTATATTTGTCTCCGGCTTTCGCTGGTTTTGGAAGTTTTCTCGCCTCGGGATGCCTGCCAGCATCTGCGCCTCGCCGAGAGCGTGCTCGGGGTGCCCGACTCGTCCCGAACGGTTGTCAGAGGCCCGAGGTATTGCCGACCAGCCAGTTCTAAGAAGCCCCTTCTCTTCTAAGAAGTCCCCCTGCTCCTTAGAAGGCATGGGATTTCTTAGAAGGGACACGGGGCTTCTAAGAAGGCTTGTTTTCAAGGAGCCAAGAGTGCGTCTAGGAAGCCACCTGCCTTCTCAGGAGCCATCCAGGCTTCTTAGGAGGGCTCCTCACCCTCGTCATCCCTGTATGCTCGCTGCCAAAGAGCGGACGCCAGTGGACCGAAGTTCAGTGCTCAGGGGAGGAAACACGTTACAGACTGCGATGCACCCTCGCGAGGAGTATGAGGAGGGGAAGATAGGGGTCCGACGCGGTTTCTTGCAATTCTCTGCCTTTGGAGACCCTTTTCGGTTTCAGGGTCCGTCAGAAATCGATCAGTATGTGTTCCTCCCCTGGCCGGTTCATGTCCCCGGATCGATCCGGGAAAAAGACATCAGCCAGGGGAGGCAAACATTCCCATCCCGACCATTTTCGTGGTTCCCAGTCGAGGATCGAAGATGTTTTTCGGAGTGGGTTTTTGGATGCCTTTTTCCTGACTGGCCCCAGGCCAGTCGGAAATCAACCCGCGATGAAACACATACTAGGATGGAGGGTGGGAGGAAAACAAGACCGATCCCGACGATCTTCGAGCGGCCAGGTTCGAGGGTGAAAGTTGTTATTCGTTTGTGCCTCTCGAGGCCGTTTTTGGAACCCGGGCCCGTCGACACTTCATTTTGGGCCGAAAATGTACAAGGACATGCCGATTCCGCCTGCCTTCGAGGAGTGAGGTTCAAGGATCCATGGTGCTCTTCAATTTCGACATCTGGAGGATGTTTTCGGGCTCCAGGGCCGAACATCGATCCAGGGCGAAACACTTGCCAGGGTGGACCTCAGGAGAACAGCTTGCTGAGGCCGATTTTGCCGCCAATTTGGCGTCTGGAGGCCTGATTCGGGCCCTGGGACTGTCAAACATCGATCCGGTGTGAAAAACTATCCAGGGGTCCAGGGATTCATTTTTGATTGGTTTTCGGAGTCTGGCAGAGGAGGAGGAGGTGAAGGAGGAGAATCTACGCGGTGTATTACCGATGCCGATGCCCCTCCCTCGAGCTCAACCTTTCGGGCCTCCTCGGTGGCCCTCCCTCGCCATGGCCGGATTCTCCTCGGAATCCTGGTCTGAACGCACGTCGGGAGAGTTCCGGGTCTTAGCTGTGTTGGTGCAATCTCGTGTTCCCGCAGGTACGCGAAGTGCCCGCGGTCCGAGAACGTGCCCGGCAAGAACGGCTGCCCCGCCCTCGGGGGCAAGACATGGTCACCATTCGAACACGTTCGGTGGGTACTCGTTGCCAAGTCTGGACTTTCGGAGGAGCTTCTCTCGTCACCACGGCCGGACTCCTTTCGAGGTGCTCGTCAGAACGCCTCCCCGAAGAATCCAGGGGGGCGAGTTTTCGGGGCCGCCATGAAGAACACTGTTGTTGGAGAGGGTTCCTGAGATTTGATTGGGCCTCCCAGGCCCCCTCCCCCTCCAGGTCCCAGGAATCTCCAGAGTCAAAAGCAACTGCACATCAATGAAGCGTCAATCCCAGGAAAGATCCCAGGGGTTCAGGATTCGTCTCCCTCAGGAGGGATCAAAGTCAATACCACTTTGGGCTCAGGAGGTGCTCTGATGTTCGGGCCGTTCCTTCGATCTGGGCCGGGAGCCGTATTCGTGGCCGAGGCTCGCCGTGGCCAGAAAAGCCCAACCCAATTCGTTCCTCATCTGGCGTTCCCCTTGGTAATAAGATGACGGTAAGTTTAGGGTGGTCAGGTATGGTAGTGGTGTGTGGTTTTCATGGGGGGCACTGAGGAGGCTTTCGTGGTGCATCTCGCGTACAAGTTAGTCGCACACATCAGCAATGTTTGAAAACCATGCTGATGGTGGTGAGTTCTGTCCTGCTTCAGGGCGGAAAGCATGTAACAAGTAGTCTTCAGCTGTTTGTGGCATCCTGGAGGCCTCCTGGGGCTTCCTTGGGAGAGGCAAAGATCGCACCACTGGCACCCCGCCAACGTCGGCTTGTGCTCCTCCACCCTCACATCCTGCTTCTCTTCCGTCCCTGCTTTCCCACCCCCTCCCTCCTCCTCTGCCTTCCTCCCCCTCCCTCCTCCCCCCTCCGTCCTCCCTCATCCTACTTCTGGCTCCTCCCCCGACTTGTCACTCCATCTTCTCCCTCCCCGTCGAGGGAGCGCACGGCTCCCTTCTCGCCCTCAGTGGAAGCATCGCGGAAGGCAGCGGAAGTAAGGCGAGGGCGGGGGACGGCGAAGATAAGACAGGATCTCCGATGCCGTGGCTGAGTCCGCGACACATCCGTTCCCTGAGGTCTGGGCGTCTTGACCCCGTCTCTTAGCACAATATGTAGACTGTTTGGTTCCGAGTCTGGCGATAACCCGAGTTATCGGGCGCGCCCGTCCCCCCCGGATAATTTGAGACCTTGTCGGCTGCGCAGGTCCGAAGGGGGTCCGTAGTACTGTGCACACTGGCATACGTGGGGCTGCCCAAAGCGAAAAGGTTAAGTTATCGACCGACCGACACATCCCCCGCACCCATGCAGAGGATAACTTGGGCCATCGACGAAACATCGGTATACATATATACACACATATATACACATGTATATATGTATCTGTATAGGTGTATAGGTATACCGATATCTGTGTTACCCCTGGTCGTTTTTGATGGTCCGGTGGTCAATTTCCCAAGGATGCTGAGATTGGTCGGGGGCGTCGGAGAGGGGGGCGAGGAGGGGGGGGGGAGATCTCATGGCCGGTGCCACGACATCTCCCCGACGTCGCCTGAGATCTTGGCGTCTCAAGTTTTTCGAGTCGGGGGTTTTCGCCCGGTTTCGGGCCACGGGACCCTCACACGTCGGTCTGGCTCGAAGATTGGTGCAGAAAAGTGGGGTCCGGGGCTCCAGTCGTGATTTGTCACGATGTGTTTCGACAGTTTCGTCGGCGGCGAGCCGAGGGGGATATGAGAAGGAGAAGGCCTTCCCAGAAGGCTCGGACGTCCCCCGGCCTTCTGAGAAGTTTTCTAAGCCTTTCCCGAAACCACAGAACATGTCTCAGAAGGCGCGAGGGTTTCTGAGAAGCCACGCCGCCTTCGAGAAGGCCTTCTCCTTCTCACATCCCCCCTTCGCTCGCCGCCGATTTCGAGACGTCGGATATCAGGGTCATGGTCCCCTTCAGTGTTTCAGCATGTCGCCTGGCCCCCCCTGGTCCGCGCACATGCCTCGAGCCATGACACGCTAACCCTCCTGTGCCTGGCCCCCCCCGTTCGGCGCACCCGAGCTCAGGGGGCACGCCCGTCGTGGCTGGGATGGTAGGAAAACCAGCGTGAACCCAACAGATGTCGGCAGCGAGCGAGGGGAGGAAATGAGAAGGAGAAGGCCTTCTCAGAAGGCGGCGTGGCTTCTCAGAAGCCCTCACGCCTTTGAGAGGTTTTTGTCCGTTTTAGGGAAAGGCTTAGAAAGCTTCTCAGAAGGCCCGGGGACTTCCGAAGCTGCTGAGAAGGCCTTCTCCTTCTCACTTCCCCCCCTGGCTCGCCGCCGAAAAGAAAGCCAGCGTGAACCCAGCAGACTGTTACGAGGGTAACCGTTTCCCTGGCCACGGTGTCGTCCTCGCTCCACCCTCGCAGCCGGAGGTTTCTCTTCTCCCGGGTTCTGTTTCTCACTCGGGCTTCTCACTCGGAGGCCTGTGGCCTGCAAGGTTTTGCCGTGCACGGGCCTTGGGAGATGGTGGCCGGAGGCCGAAGCCGAGGGAGCGCGCCCGTCGTGCCAGCAGGGCCCACTCCGATCCGACCTGTCCGATTCGATGCCGATGCGGGCCGGCCCGATCCGAGTCGTCTTCGACATTCCGACGATGCGGCAGGAAGGAACTGGGTCCTGAGGGACACGGGTCCTCGGGTTTTTGCCCTGTTCGGGCTCCGGGGGGCCCTCCACGGGCCCCAGGCCTGGCAGAGAACGACTGCAGACGGAGAATTGGTCCTGGGGGAAGGCCCCGTGGTCCAGGACCTGGTTCCCTCAGGACCTGTTTCTCTTTCGTGCTGAGACATCCCGACGATCCAAATCCGATGCGGCCCCACTGTCACATGGCGCTTTTGCGCATCCTGGCGCAGCCGATTCAACTCGATTCCTGTGACTCCGCGCCGACGCGGTCCGGTCCGTGCTCTGTCCCGACCCGGTCCGATCTCCCGAGGCGGTGCCGACGTGGGTCGTGGGCCAATGCCTTGGGTGCAACCATTCTCGGGGCTCACGCGACGGGGGCCAGCGCCCACTGGGGTCAGCCAGTCCTCTCTGGCTGACCCAGGTCTGGGAGCCACGTCAGAGGAGGAAAAGGTCCCCAAAGTTACCGCTACCCTCGTCTCGGAGGCCCTTGTCGCCACCGTTGGATTCGCTTCGAAATTCTGGTCAGAGCGCACCCCGGGAGAGGTCTGGGGAGTAGCGGTATCGGTGCCCGTTGGTCTCCCCACCACGTGGGGCTGGTTGCCCCTCCTCGCTCTCCGCTGACCCGGTCTTGGAGGCGACTGAGCGGCCGGCTGGGCTTCGCGACAGGGCTTTGGCCGACTCGGGGTTTGTGTTTCGGAGGCCTGGAAATTGGCACCAACACCACAAGACAGGGGGTTGCCTCCACAGGGGGAAGGCGATCCTAGATTTTCGGTGTTGGTGGTAATAGTTCGGCCACCTTGGAAGCCAGAATTATTACCACCATCACCGAGATCGGGATCTTCTTCCCTCGGTGGAGGCACACCGCCGAAATTGGTGTTGGTGTCAATCTCTAGGCCTGCGATGTGTTGGCCCGGGTCAGGGTGTCCCCGACCCTCAGGCTGCGGCTACTTCCAGTGGATGGACGAGGTGGCCAACGGGGTCCAGCCGCCAGCACCCCGCCCGCCGCCGCAGGAGGGACCCCACGTCGGCGGCGACGCGGACGGCGGCGACGACGCGCGACGTCGACGCCGACGCTGGCGACGACGGCGACGGCGACGGCGGCGACGGCGGCGAGAGCAATGCAACGTCGACGGCGGCGACGACGGCGGCGTCGACGGCGACGCCGGCGGCGCCGACGGCGGCGGAGGCGACGGCGGCGGCGCCGCAGGAGGGCCCACCCTGCCCCTGCGGCGCGGGGCCGACGCAGGCGGCGCGGGGGGCGGCGGGCGGAGCCGATGGGGCCCTCGGGGGCGGCCTGGTCGACCCCTCCAGCCGAGACGCCGAAGGAGGGAGCGCTTCGGGCTCGGAGCGGGGCTTCTCCCGAGGTCCCTCCCCGGCTACCCCCCATCTCTCAGGAGGGGAAAAACACACAGACACAATTAATCGTCGACCCCCAGGAAAATATGGAAAAATAGGGGCAGTGGCGGGGAAGACAAAAATCCAGAAAATATAAGAAAATATGGGGAATACTTTTATTTGTGTGTATTTATTTGTGTGTCCCAGGGCCCCTTCCATCTCGCTCCGGCGCTCCTCGTGCACCCAGGTGTTCTTGAGGGGGCCAGCAGGAGGAGGGGGGGGGGGGGCGGTTCTACATGTGGTGTTCCTTGCTATTCTAGCTTCAACTGGGGCATGTCCCTCTGTACACCGGAGGAATACTCGAGAAGAGTAGCAACATAGTCTGGTGACGATTGTCCGTGCTCCATGAAGTAGTTTCCAATATTTGTTTAACTATGTTTCATTTTTCCTTCAAAATCCGCCTGCATGCGGACATGCCCGACCGAGTAACTACTAGCTTGACCGTAGCAGACCGACCCCGTACGTGACGACCCCGTCGCGTCGCTCCAAGACGTGGGCAGGCGCCCTGAAGGGGGGCCTCGGTCAGGGGCACTGTGACGGGGGAGAAAGGGTCAGGGGGGGAAGCATCGACCCCGAATTGCTCATTGGTCGCCGATGGGGCTTGATGGCCAATCCCGCCCAGGAACGTGTGCGGATTCGAAATTCGCCGAGCGCCAATCAATCGGCGATCTATCGCCGATTCCAGGAGGCTGTTTTTTTGTTCAGGGTCTGGCGATAACTCGGGTTATCGGGCTCGCCCCTCGCCCCCAGCCCGGATAACCTCACCCTGTCGGCAGTTGACAGGGTCCAGACATATCCGCCTGCATTTACAGGCGGCGGCCGCATCGTCGCAGCACGAATAGTATAGTAGCATCGTGCGCGTGGGGGCATATGCGGGGCTGCCCACAGCGCGAAGGTTAAGCTATCGCCCCCCCTCGATAACCCGGGGCATCGCCGATCCCCAAAAAACAGCCTCCAGGTCTATGTTCCCCCCTGGGCCAGTCGCCCCTGAGCGTTCCCATTCATTCGACGGGGACCGTCATGGGAGGGGCCCGTCCCGAGATGGAGTCGGTTGGGCCGCGCCCGAGACCGGTTGCTCTCCCGCCTGCACGTCACTTCCCCCTCCTCGCCCCCTGAGGGTCGAAGGAGCAGACACGGCATCAAACAGAAATCGTCGGAGGTCCGTTCGGATCTCTTGGATCGGCGCTGGACCTTCTCCCCCCTGGCATCGCCTCCAGCGCCGCCCTTGGCGCGCTCAACGCGCCAGGGGAGGGGGGGGGAATGCAGCGGCGATGCAAGAAATCCGCGCGGACCTCCGGAAGATGTTGTGCAGTGTTTGTTGTCTTCTGCCGTCCCCTCCCACTTGTCCTCCGAGGGTGGTCAAGGGTAAACCCCACGAAGATAGTGCAGTGCTTGTCTGACTGTTCCATCCGTTTTGATGCGTGCGGGACCTCCAGAAAAGACCAGCGTGCGTAGGAGGAGGAGGAGGAGGAAGAAGAAGTTCTTTCCCAAGGATGTTGCAACATGCTATATCATCCACCCTCGGCGCCCCTAAAGCCGCGCACCAAGGGTCATTCTGGCGTGTAGCCGGCAGATGGCTGACCAATACAGCAATTTTGGCAGCAGTAACGTTAGCCAGAATCATGCCAAAGGTTGCAGTGCTCGTACCATCACCTTACAGTGAGTACGATCGAAACTATAGCTCCGATGGAGAACACTTCGAACGGATGCACACTCTATCTCCCAACCCCAAGTCTCGTTGTCGGCTGCAAGCAGGTTTACTATTAGGTGTGTTCGCCCCCTGGATGCCTTCGTATACCACATATCTCAAACTCCTCCCCACTACCGTCTCCGGACCCCCGACGTCATGATGTATTCCTGACGTGGGCCCCCGGCCCTCTCGAATCCTTCCAGAGCTGTTTTTTTCATCGCGAGCCTTTTGGGGGACGGCCCCTGGGCCCGAAATGTGATTTTGCGGGGGCCCTCACTGGACAGTGTTCTTTAACCATCGGGGCCATGAAGCGCGTTATGCCCCCCTCTTCCCCCACCCATCACGTAACGCCTCCCCCTGCCCACTGCGTTCCCTGCACTGCCGCTGTGAGTCTGGCACCGCAGTATGTGGTGCCGTACGCACACGGCAGGGGAGGTGGGGCGCTGCATCATGCCCCCCCCCCATCACGCCCGTTGTCGCCGCGAGCTCAGCAGTACCCTCCTGTCTCTGCCGCGCTTGCCACCGAGTGCACGGATCACTCGAGGGGTGCTGCGGTCGTCCCCTCCCTCTGCCTCCTTCTCCAAAATCATGTCAGGGGAACGAAGAACGACATAAACAATCAAAACTCGGAGGTCCGCGCGGATTTCTCGCATCCGCGCTGGACCCCCCTCCCTGGCGCGCGGAGCGCGCCAGGGGCGGCGCCAGAGGCGCCGCCAGGGGGCCCCAGCGCGGATCCGAGAAATCCGCGCAGACCTCCGAGTTTTTATGTTCATGCCATTTTTCATTCCCCTAAGATATGTGCCATCCTGGTCGTCGCGATGTGCTCGAGCCGCTGAGATCTGTGGGCCCGCCTCGCTCCGCCGCAGCAGGGCACCTCGCTGCCACACCAGCACCGCACGCCCCGCAGGGGGCCCTGCTGGGCCGCAGGAGGGTGTATCCTGGCCTCGGCCGCCCCCTCTTCTCTTCCTCCTCCTCCTCCTCCTCCTCCTCCTCCTCCTCCTCCTCCTCCTCCTCCTCCTCCTTCTGCTCCTCCTCCTCCTCCTCCTCCTCCTCCTCCTCCTCCTCCTCCTCTTCTGCCTCCTCCGTAGCCATTTTGGCTCAAGCCATTTTGGCTCAAGCCATTTTGGCTCAAGACCGCGGCAGGCAAGGCAGTTCTGCCTGGCACCCTTCTGCAGCCTTCACTGCGGGATTTGGGCTCCCGCATCTTAGCAGCTTTCAGTCTCGCACTTCAGCAGCCTCGCCCATGTCCGCAGGAACGAATGGTGCCTCGCCCGCCACACCACGAGGATCCGCGACGCCTGGCACGCCCGGCAAGAGGGTCATCAAGCCGAACAAGACTCTGCGGCCTGGTGGTGGTCGTGTTGCTATTGGTTTTGCTGGGAGTACCCCTGCGCAGCCTGAGGTGCACTGCATGGACCAGTCGGACAGCGAGGGGGACTACGACGAGTCGCACGTGCGGACCATCTGTTTCGAGGTGGTCAACGAGTGCCTCAACAATGTGCAGCAGGAGGTGGACAAGATCGTGGGCACCTCCGTCAAGTCTGCGATCACGGAGGAGACGGAGACGATCACCAACGCTTTCAAATCGAATTTCGACAAGTGCATGGCGGCATGCAAGAAGGACATGGGCGAGTTTCCGAAGAAGATGGATCAGCACATCATGGCGGTGGTCACTCCCAAGCTCGACGCGCTGCGCACAGAGGTTATGCAGCGGTGCGACGAGATCCGTGGCGAGATTCAACAGGTTGACGCGCGAGCTTCAGAGCATGATCGTCTTCTGGGGGTCATGCAGACTCAGATCCAGCAGCTGCAGCAGGCATTGGTCGTCGCCAGCTCGCAGCAGCCCGCGCCGAAGGTGTTGGCAAGCAGCGCTTCCTTCGAGAGGGAGATCGACGCGACGGTGGTCAAGATCAACGCGGGCAGGCTCGTCCAGTGCGAGGAGGTGCGCAGCGTCATCACTCCGTGGCTCGAGGAGATGCAGATCACTTCCGACATGTGGTCTCTTTCGTCTCCTGACCCGATCGCCAAGATGTTCGTGCTGCAGATCTCGGGGGCTACAGGCCTGGCGTCCAGGCGTGTGCAGAAGATTCTCAGCGGCTTGCGCATCTCGTCAAATCAATGGCGTGAATTTGAAGTACCAACACAGGCGGGTGGCACCACCCGCTTGCACATCTCTAGTGACAAGAGCCCGAAGCAGATCAAGACGGAGATCACGGGGCGTAAGCTCCGCACAAAGCTGCAGGAGATCTACGGCCGTGAGCAGAAGATATTCTTTGACAGGGACCGAGGTTGGCTCTCGCTCGGCTGGGATGCGCTGTGCAAGATTGAGGTCTTCCCTGGCCGTGAGGGGACGCAGCTTTTTCTGGAACCCTGGCACCATCGCCAAGTACGGGAAAACCAAGGCCGAGCTGGTTGAGGCAGTGGGGGAACTTCTTCAGCCAGATCGGGGGCCTGGGTGGTGCCTTTAGCCGTTTTGCTGCGCTTTTCGCGCGCTCGCAGCTGCCGTTCTTGTGCGACGCTGCCACGGCTGGCGGCTTGCGTTTCACTTCCTGGAACACACGTGCTTTGCTGCAATACGAGGGGGGCCCACGCTTGTGAGAAGTTGTCTTATCTCCAGAAGCTCCGACTGGGCTCCACAGTCACCGTTTTGCAGGAGATTCACCTGTGTGAGGCACAGCTTATTCCTTTCCTTCGGCGCCCCCCCCCCCCCCCTGGTGCTCTAGTTTATTCGAGTTTTCGCGGAGAGGACCGCGCTGGGCGAATCCGTGGTGGGGTTGCCACTGTCGTTCCAGGGGTGTTGACCAGAGGCCATCGTTCCCCTTCCCTTCCCCCTGGCGTCACTGCCACCCCGCCCTCTCATATCGATGGTCGTCTGCTCCGCGTTGTCATCGAAAAGCAAGACGCGAAACTAATTCATTATAATGTGCATAATCATGACCTAACCTCATAACAAGTAAGGAACGTGTGCAATCGGATAAATCGCGATCGGACCCTGGCCGAATCGTCTCTTGAATCCGTGTTAGTTGTAGCGCATGGTGATTTCAACTTCGCGTCCGAGGAAAAACTTTCATGTGCGCTGCCTTCGGAGGCTCAGAGGATCGCTCGCCCACTTCACGCCAAGGCTCCGCGGTGGGCTGATGCTGTAGATAGTTTGGTTGAGGTCTCGCCTGCGAATGCAACTCACTATGACAAGCAGACGGATGCTGCTGCCGCGATTGACCGATTCTGGTGCTCGTGGCCTGGACGGGCGCTCGCTCAGGTATATGCTACTGCTCGGGTGGAAGGGCCCCCTGAGAAAAAAAGAAAAACAACTTCATCGTGCCAAAGTTAGTGATCACGCTGCTCTTATTATATCTATGTGCCAACGGAAGCCCCAGGACCCTGGAGAACGCCCGATCCCCAAGCATGTGTGTCGTTCTCTGGAGTATAAGCGATGCCTGGCCAAGTTTTTGGACGCGGAGAAGGCCCACTTGATGGCCATGCGTCCGCCGAGGCGCTTGCTGAGACAAAAGTATCTGATGCAGGAAGCTGGGAGGGAGGCGAGGGAATTATTGATGTTTCGCAAGCCGTCGGGCCCCCGCACGCTATTGTTGCTCGCACGTGCCCTGGCTCGTGCAGTATGGCGTCAGGATGCGGTCGCGGCTGATCGATTTCTCGCCTCTTATGCCGCCGCGGCTGATTTTGCCCGAATTGAGGGCGGTCATGTTGCACTTATTCGCCCTGCTGCTTTTCAGAGCTGGACTAACAGAGTGCAACTTGAGGCTGCCAACCTCGACCGTCTTGCGGCCCGCGCCCGTCTCGAGCGCGCTGATGGGGAGGGAGTTCGTCAGAGGGAACTTCAACAGCTACAGGCTATTGAGAGGAGGGCGAGGATATGGGCGCCGTTTGCTCGTCGACTCACGCTTCGCGCCGCGCTCGTGGAAGGGGGGGGGATGGAGGGAGAACTTGATCGTAGTGCTGCTATTGCTGCTCATCGGGGGCCGATCTTTTCAAGGAAAGCATGGCCGGCGAAAACTGCCAACACATACTCTGACCGCTTCGTTCGCCCCGTGGACTTTGCCGACTGCTCGCCGCCGTCGATTGCTATGCTGAAGAGAGTTGCACGCTCTGTTAGCGATTCAGCGCCAGGATTTGACATGTTATGTTATGCGGCCTGGCTGGCCCACCCGAGTGGACTGTTACTGCTGCGTGACCTGCTCTGGTGGATGATGTCTGGATACAGCATCCCTGTCGCTGAGAGCGTCACCCTGCAAGCCTTTTTGCCGAAAGGAGAGTCCAGTGCCGACGCGAGAGAGGGCGACTGCGATAGGGAAGCTTCGTCGGTTCGTGTTCTCGGACTTCGAAATACCAGCATCAAATTGCTCACTGCGACCATGAACATGGCGATCAGAAAACCGCTCGCTCGATTCGTTCCTCAGGACCACCGCGGGTTCATGAAAGGCAGGAGCTTCTGCCAGAACATTTTAGAGGTAGACGCCCTCGCTCGTGCGCACTCTGCCCGCCCTGAAGCTGACGACCGCTGTCCAATGCTGTGCGCCTTGGACTACGGCCACGCTTTCCCGAGCCTGTCCCAGGAGTTCGTGGTTCTCGTTTTGAGGAAAATGGGATGTCCTATCGGGTTTATGATGTTCGTCGAGACGCTGTATGATAGTATCGAAGGTGTGATGTCGATTCAGGGGATCCTGGTTCACGCTTTCTTGATTCGTTCTGGGATTATCAAAGGTTGTGCTCTTTCAGGCTCGCTGTTCGCGATTGCCCTCACGCCGGCGCTGATGGACCTCAACCGCAGTTTCGAGATCCCGCGGATGGGGATCAACCGTGCGTGTGCGGACGACTTGGGTGGAGCCTTGTCGGACATTCGTTTGCTGCTGCAGCTTAGGCGCGCGATGAACGTCGTTGAGCTGATCGCGCACCTGTGCCTCAAGCCTGCTAAGTGCGTCTTGACTCCAGTCTCAGGTTCGTTTACCCCTGCTCTCAAAGCCCAAGTCCAAAAGTTTCTGAACATGTTCATTCCCGAGTGGTCCGAGTTCCGAATTGAAGCTAAACTGTTTTACCTGGGTATGTGGATTGGCCCCGCGGCCGAGCTGATCGACTCCTGGAGTCTCCCTCGCCAGAAGTATCGTGATCGCGCAGCGGCAATCGGTGCTGGTAATACTCCTGCATCATCTTCGGCCGTGCTGTACTCGACGCGAGCAGTGTCCGTCCTCAGTTACGTCATGCAGTTTTTGCCGTTGCCGACAGAGCTGAAGGACGCCGAGAAAGGTGCCTTGGCTCAGGCGTTCCGCCTACCGCTTGGTGCTTTCCGTGCACGGGACTGGGCGCATCTTCATGAGTGGAATGCACCTCGGGTGTGCCCGCTGGCGGTGCTCAGCATTGCATCGCTCGTCGACATTACCGGAATATGATCGGATATATCGTTGGTTAGTGCGCATGACAGACACGCCCATGTCTCAGGAATTGGACGAGTGCCGCCTGGCAGTGTTGCCTGCTGGGAAGCGGTATCCGCGGCACTGGAAGTGCCGTGCCTTTGTCGAGTTTCTGCATGATGCTGATCGTGGAGTTGGAGGCTCAATGAACGTTGCTGCTGCCGCCGCCTGCCGTGTAAATGATGTGAAGCCGCAGCGTGCCGCCAAGCTAGCTTGCATCCAGTGCTGGCCGCAGCACGGTCTCGGAGAGTTGTTCGCGTCCCGTCTCCTGAAGTGGTGGCCTGAGCGGGCTGCGGTGATCCAGGCCTTTGATTGGCCCAGCATTCAGAATGTTCTCAAGTCGGTCCCGCCTTCCTGGGCCTGTTCGTGGATTCGAACCCTGAGCGGAGCGTGGTTCACCTCCCATCGTATCCTGAATGAAGGTGGTCGTAGGGGCTGCATTTTTGGATATGAGGGGGAGCCCGATCGTCAGTTGCACTATGCCAGCTGTCCTCGCCTTGCCTGGTCTATCTCAACTGTTCTGCGTTATAGGCAGTTGTCTCCAGATCCGTTGGCCAGATGGGGATCCCGATATGCACCGTTCCTGTATTCGAGGAAGTGTTCATTGCCTGCCATGTCTATCACTCTCTCCGTCACCTCCCTCTTGCGTCTTTCCTTCACCCTCAAGTGAATCTTGATGCGGCAGCGGCTGCTGTCCGCGAGCTGCACCTCACGGCGCCCTACGCCGAGGAACGCCGCGGGTAGGGGTCGTCGTCGTCGTCGTCGTGGTACGCTTGCCTCCTCCTCTGCCTCCTCCTCCTCCTGCTCCTCCTCCTCCTGTTCCTGTTCCTCCTCCTCCTCCTCCTCCTCCTCCTCCTCCTCCTCCTCCTCCTCCTCCCCTCTCCTACATCACTGCCTCCCTCCCTCCCTCCTCCCCTTCATCCACGCCCTCCCTCCCTCCCGAGGGTCAAGTTGGAGCGGTCTGGGGGTCTGAGATGGCCCAGCACCGGTTCCGGCCGGCAGGAAGGGCGGGCAGGCTCGAGGCTCTTGGCTCGGGGAGGTGTTTTGCGCTTTTCGGCGTCCCAGGGGCCGTCTTCGGGCCGCGGGTCCGGGGCGAAGGACTGTGCCAGAAGGACTTGGGTAGTGTTCCAGGGACCGATTTTGAGCGGATCTGGTATCACCCCTCCTCCTGAGGGATTTTTTGGGGTCCCCACCAGCACCGGTTCCGCCCTCCTGGCCGCCTCAAATACCAGGGTGGTCTGCGCAACACCCTGCAGGACCCATTTCGATCCGATCGATCCAAATCGATGTCGATGTCGGCTGGTTCCATCCGATTCGATTATGATATTTCCGCCGATCCGATGCGGCCCGATGCTCACACGGCGCTGTCGTGCATCCTGGCGCAGCCGATGCGATGCGATTTCGAGTCCGTGCCGATGCGGCCAGCCCCGATGCACAGCTCGATGCGACCTGACTTACCGAGTCGATGCAGTCTTACGGAGACGAAAAACGACGTAAGCATAACAACTCGGAGGTCCGCGCGGATTTCTCGCATCCGCGCTGGACCCCCCTCCCTGGTGCGTTCCGCGCGCCAGGGGCGGCGCCGGAGGCGCCGCCAGGGGGCCCCAGCGCGGGTCCGAGAAATCCGCGCGGACCTCCGAGTTTTTATGTTCATGTCATTTTTCGTTCCCCTAAGTCTGTTTCTGCCCTGCGACCCAGATTGGCCCGGCGGTCGCCAAAAACGCGGTGTACTTTGGAGCGCGGGTTTGGTTGGTCGGGGGCGTGGCGGGCCGGGTCGCCCCTCTTGTCTGGAGGTGCAGGCTGCCCGCAGCGCGGCGAACAGCGGCAGGCCGTACGCCAAGTGCCCGAAGTCCGAGAACATGCCCGGGAGGAGCCGTCCCTCTTTCCTCGGTGCGCTTGTAGGGGAACGAAGAGTGGCATAAACAAAACAACTCGGAGGTCTGCGCGGATTTTTTGGATCGGCGCCGGGGCCCCGTGGTGGCGCCTCCTGCGCCGCCCCTGGCGAGCTCCGCGCGCCAGGGAGGGGGGTCCAGCGCGGATGCGAGAAATCCGCGCGGACCTCCGAGTTTTGATTGTTTATGCATGTTTTGTTCCCCTTATACTTCCTCGGGGCGCTTGTAACGAGGTTCAGCGCAAACGGGGCACAGCCAGACCGCCGGATCCTGCAGGATCCTGCAGGGCTAGATTTTGGCTGAGCTGGGTCTGGAAGCCGCTCGCGGCCCCAGAGGTTAGTTTGAGAATCGCGTGCGCCGGGTTTGCGCTGCGCTCAGCCGGGTCAGCCCACGCCCGATCTCCTGCCTCCCATCTCGGGGGAAGGCCTGTCGAGACTCCGGCGGCCCTCGCCGGCGTTTCTCTGCCTCTCGGGTGTTGCTGGAGGCGTCTTCGCCGACGGACACAAAGGAGGGGTCCACGGGCTGATGCTGCGTGGGCGTGGGCTGGCCAGGAGAGCCGCCGTTGTCTCGACGGGCCTCCCTCGCCATCGCCCCCTCTCGCAGAGAAATCGGCCGGTCAAGGCGCTGGAACCAGGACCACTTTGGGCTCGGCTCCTCCTCCCCTCCCCCTCGCCGCCTCTCTCCATGGACTCTTCCCTCCTCAATCCCTCCCTCCCCCATGCCTTCCTCGACAAGGGTTACTTCTCTCCTGCATCCGCCCTCCCCTGCCTCCTCATCCCTGCTCATTTTCATCATCCCTCCTCCCTCCTCGTCCTTTGCCCCTCCTCATCCCTCCTGGATCCTGATCCATCCTCCGTCCTCCCCATTCTCATTTAGATCGTCCCTCCTAAGCCTCACTTCTCCCTCACTCTTCTCTGCTCTGCTTTCTGTTCTTCCCTCCGTCCATCTTCCTCCGCCTCCCTCCCTCTTCCCCGTCCTCCGTCCTCCTCCGTCCTCCCTCCGTATTCCTTCGTCCTGCCTTCACCCTTCCTCCTCCTCCTCCTGCTCCTCCTTTTCCTCCTCCTCCTCCTCCTCCTCCTCCTCCTCCTCCTCCTCATGCTCACGCTCACGCTCACGCCAGCGTGCCATAGAAGGCTCCTCCTCCTCCGAACATGGCGGCGACGGCGGCGGCAGCGGGATCGTGACACCGCCAGAGGAACGGCTGCGGGTTCTTCCAGTGGATGGACGAGCCCCAGGGCGGCGCCAGCGGGGCCGGCGGCGGTGCCGCGGCACAGCAGGCGGGCTGGCGGGGAGGGGCAAACGAAGAGTGCGCACGCTCGCGCGCGCGCGCTGTGTGCCACGGGCTGCGCCAGGGCCGCGCAGAAGAGGAGGACTAGGAGGAGGAGGAGGAGGAGGAGGAGGAGGAGGAGGAGGAGGAGGAGAAAGTCTGGCGAACTACGAGTAGGACCAGGAGGAGGATGAGGAGGAGGAGGAGGAGGAGGAGGAGCCGGGGGAGGAGGAGGAGGAGCAGGAGGTGGAGGAGGAGGTGGAGGAGGAGGTGGAGGAGGAGGGGAGCGAAAACAGACCAGGGGACGCCTGCGTGGCGCCAGCTACTCTCCCCAGACCTCCAGAACTTAGCTGCCCCGATACGCCCGTGCTGAAACGCAGCACGTGCCGCATTCAAGCGTCCGTGTTGACACGCTGCGTGTTGGCTCGGCACGTGCTGGCCCACGTTTTGACGAACGCATCGCGCCAGACCTACGTTTTCAGTCCACTTGCTTTGCTCCGTATCAGCACGCTGCGTGCTGCGTGTTGCGCATCGGGCCCGCTGAGCTCGAGGACTCGTGCGGAGGGAGCTTTCCGGCCCCGCGGACCGACCAGGGAGCGGCTCGGGACGCGAAGCCCCCGCTGCCGGGGAAAAAACTGGGTCGAGCGGAGACGGGCCCCGAGGCTCCGAGCATGCGCCAGAGCTCACAACACGGTCGGGCCGAGGTCTCGGATCGAGATCGGTTCGGGGAGGGCGCCCTAATGCTCTTCGTGCTTGTTGGATGTTCTTGTGCATCCTGGGGGAGGGTACCCTCGAGGGTGCTTCGATTCGGCCAGCGGATGGTCCCAGTGGGGGGGCCGCGTGCATGTATTCGGATCCCCAAACCATCACCCTAGTTAAAATCAGCATTGATTTCGGGGGCTGGGGGGTTATGAACGTCGAGTGTGTGACGGCTCGCATATTTTGCCCATGCACTGTCACCATCCACCGAGACGAGCAATTTCAGACCCCCCCCAGACCAGGCATGAAAGGGCGGCCTTTTGGCCCAGCCCCCTGCGAACTCAGACCCCTCCCCCCCCCCCCCCAAGTGTGACCGCTCCACTTCCCCATGGAAGCCGGGGTATCAAGTTTGGGAGGCAGAGGGCGCCCAAGGTCGAACATGTTGGCTTGGCGTGGCGCGCCGCCGGCTCCGGCCCACCACGCCTCGGCGCGACACGCGCTGCCCGTGCCCCTGTCCCCCCGGGCGCCAGCGTCCCGCCTTTGGTCCTCTCCTCCCGCCCCGCGAGGCGGAGCGAATCCGCTTGCAGGGCACGGCGTGTCGCTGGGGCCGCCGCCGCGACACGCTGAGCAAGAGTCCCTGACCTCGGCGGCGAGCCCAGGGAGAGAGTGAGGAGGAGAAGGCCTTCTCAGAAGGCTCGGAAGTCCCCCGGCCTTCTGAGAAGCTTTCTGGGCCTCCGCCGAAGACAGAAAATCTTTCAGAAGGCCCGAGAGTTTCTAAGAAGTTTCGCCGCCTTCTGAGAATCGACTATGGGATCGACTACATCCTTGGTTGACCGCGAAATTGATTTTCCCAGTCGAATCGACGAGAAATGCTTAGAATGCCCTGTAGATCTGGGAGTATCCTGCGCATCCCTCGTAGATTCGACGGAGAAAGGTACTCTGGGGTAGCTCGACTCTGTAGTCGATCCCCCGCTCGAGAGAAGGCCCTCTCGCCTCCCCCCCCCTCGCTCGCCGCCGCGGACTGCAGACATCACCGCCGTGCCTGGCCGGGGCCTCTGCCGAGCCCCACGATGGTGCGCATCGGCCCTCCCTGCCTCGGCCAGAGGAGGAGGAGGAGGAGGAGGAGGAGGAGGAGGAGGAGGAGGAGGAGGAGGAGGAGGAGGAGGAGGAGGAGGAGCAGGAGCAGCAGCAGCAGCAGCAGCAGCAGCAGCAGCAGCAGCAGCAGCAGCAGCAGCGGCGGCGGCGGCGGCGGCGGCGGCGGCGGCGGCGGGAGGAGGAATGAGATAGGAGGAGGACGATGACGACGACACAGGAAGCGAGGATAAAGATGGCGAGGAAGACGAGGAGGAGCAGGAGGAGGAGGAGCAGCAGGAGAAGGGACCAGGATGAGGAGGAGGGAAGGGGATGGGATGGATAGTTAGGAGGAGAAGGAGGAGGAACTGAGGAGAAGGAGAACGAGGAGGAGAAGGAGACTCGTGATGATGATGAGAAGGAGGAGGAGGACAACGAGGCGAACGAGGTGAGCGGGAAGGGGAGAATCGCGAGGGAACAGCTGGGGAGAAGGTGAAGAAGGAGGAGGAGGAGGAGGAGGAGGCGGAGGCATAGCAACGGGAGCAGGCGGAGGGGGGGGGAGCAGAAGTTTGAGGAGGAGTGCGAGGCAGAGGGGAAGGAGGAGGAGTAAGAAGATGATGAGGAGGAGGAGGAGGAGGAGGAGGAGCGGCAGGAGGAATAGGCGAACGACGACGACGACGACGACGACGACGACGACGACGACGACGACGACGACTGAGACGTCGGTTGCGAAGACGACGGCTTGGACGACGGCGACTTCAGCACGACAACGACGGCGGCGACGACTGACTAGTAGGACGGCGATGATGGCCAGGACGACGACGACGAAGCCTTCGACGACTGCGGCGATGGGCGACGATCAGGTGCAGCAGGGCCCCGACTGCCCCTGCGGCGCCGGCCCAACCCGCGTCCGCACCGCGAAGACCGCCGCGAACAACGGGCGGCAGTTCGCGAGCTGCCCGAACAACACGCCGGGCGGTGGCAACGGCTGCGGGTTCCTCGTCGTGTCGGCTTCACGTAAGAGCGACCTGTCGCCGGAGTGACCTTCAGTGCGAGTCCACTGGGGTCCCCCGATCACCGAATGCGATGCGATACTTGCGTCTTGCGCGCTTGGGTTAGACCCCCACGTGGCCCTCCGAAAGCCGCGCACCAACGGTCACTCTTGCCTAGGGTCACTCGCGTGTAGCCGATGGTTTCGGAGGCGACAACGGGGGAAAATAGCTCAGGGCGGAGTAATACATGAATTTGGGGGCGACGATGGTCCATGCCTTCAGCCACGGCACCCGGCGAATGCATGTAATCTCCGACCCTGAGTTATGCGCCCCTATCGTCGCCTTCGACCGCCGTCTCGGTCGGTCAGTCAGTCAGACCGTGGCTCAAGTGAAGCCCATAGCGAAAGAGCGATGACGAGAGAGGATCTGGGCCGGCTTACAGGACGGAGAGGCGAGCATTAACGGGCCGCCCGCGCCGACATTCGTCGTCGTCGTCGTCGTCGTCGTCGTTGTCGTCCTCTTGGGGCCCTTGCGCCGTCTTAGGGGATTCTTGGCCTGCCTGACGCCTATGGGGGCCGCCTTGGGGGCATCTGTAGGCCGTGTTGGTGCCCTCTTGGAGCGGTTCCAGAGCCTTCTTGGAGGCGCCTTGGGCGATCTTTAGACCCTTTTCGGCCGACTTGGGGCCCTCTTGGGGGGTCTCTTGGGCTGTCTTGAAGATATCTTGGGGGTCTCTTGGAGGCTTCTTGGGCCGTCCTAGGCTGTCGGAAACCCGAACAGGCGAGAACGTCAAAATCTTTCAAAAACCTTGGGAACATCTTTGGCCTTCTGGGGTTTTCAAGGAGGGCCTGGGCCATCTTGGGGGCTTCTTGATATGTCTTGAGGCTGTTTTGGAAGCCTCTTGAGCCTTCTTTGGCCATCTTGGTGTCATCTTGGCTGCGTCAGCCCTCCTGGAGGTCATGAGGCTCCTGTGAAGGCCTCAGCACAGATCAAGAGGCTCCCAAGACGGCCCAAGAGGTCTTCAAGAGGCCTTCCAGGAGAGCCCGAGGATACCAAAACCATTGATTGTCCTTAGGTATTTGAAGAAGAGTGAGGTTCTGGCATGTTTGGGTTTCCGACCGCCCAATGCAGCCTAGGAGGCCTCCCTGGGTCACCTTGTTGCTTTCTCGGAGCGCTTCAGTGCCGTCTTGGGGCCCTCTTTGGGGCTCCTTGGGCGATCTATGGGTCCTCTCGAGCCGACTTGAGGCCCTTTTGGAGCTCCTTGGGCTCTTGGGGCTATCGTAGAGGCCTCTTGGAGGATTCTTGGGGTGTCCTGGGCTGTCGGAAGGCCAAACAGGCGAGAACTTCAACATCCTTGAACAACCTACGTACGTGAAATCATTGGTTTTTGCTCCTCGGGCTGTCCAGGAAGGCCTCTTGGAGCTTTTTGGGCCGTCTTGGAGGCCTCTTGGAACCTGCTTGGGCCGTCTTGGGGGCCTCTTGGGCAGTCTTGAGGCTGTCTTGAGAGGCTCTTGAGCTATCTTGGGCCATCTGGAGCAACTTTGGTGTCGTCTCGGCTGTCTCGGAAGCCCTCTTGTAAGGTATTCTGGTCGTTCGAAGGCCGAAAAGACCGCCAGACAGCAATTTAAGAGGTGGCGGTTTTCGAGGGGCGCGCGATGAGGGGAGGGGGATCGGCCCTAGAAAAGAGAACGACACAGACGAGCGTTCTAACAAGCCCATTCCGTGCAGGGGGGTTTATGTTAGATCCGCTTGCATGTTGAAGGGGAAAGTGGGCCTCTGGATTTGGTTTCTGGGCCCTAGGGCCATCAAACATTGATCCGGGGCGAAAGCCTGCCCGGGCCCGCGGATTGAAAGAAAACGCAGCCAGCCAGGTGTCAGGGTCGTCTTCGTTTTCCGTCACCGTCACGTCCCCATCATGTTGTTCTTTGTCCCAATCTTCCTCCCCCTCCTCATCCCCCTTCTCTGGGGCGAGCAATTTTCCCAGGATGTGGGCCTGAAAGGAGCATCATCAAACGAACTATTGATGTTGGCTAGACTACCTGCTCGAAACACAGATCGGCGAAGTGCAGCCTCAGGTGAGCGACGTAGAAAAATGATTTCGTCTTCACTGGCATTGGCGCGTACGCTGCCCGCGTAAGGTCGCGGGTAAGTAGCCCTCGTTCGCAGTGTGGCACGCCGCGCTGGCGGCCCGCGTAAACCATTGCGTAAGGTCGCGATGCCATTGCGCGTAAGACCCCTTTCTGTTCGTCGCCCAGGTTCTTCCAGTGGATGGACGAGGCCGCGGGTGGCGCTGCAGGAGGATTGGAGCACGACCAACGAGTGGGCACGTCGGGCATCCTCGCCCTCGGCGCGTCGCGTCTTCGCCGGAAGGCCAGCAGAAGCTGGCGGCGATGACGCTGTGTGGGGCGCGGGGGTGGGGGGGTCGGGGGGGGGGGGGGCCAGGCATAGGGGGGGGGATGCGTCGACCCCCAATCGCCCATTGATCGCCGATAGGCGCCCGATAGCCCCAACCTGCCCAGGAACGTGCGGGTTCACGATCGGGCGCCTATCGCCGATCTATCGGTGATATATCTCCGATCCCAGGTCGACGTGCCCCGCCCTGTGCCCGTCCCCCGTACCGTTGCCCATCCTGGGGGGACAGGGCATGAGACTCTCTCTTCCAGCTTTTGTCGTGCAGAGTCGTCCGCCTCGCGCGTCTCCGTGGGCTCTCACGTCGACGACAGATTCGATGGCGCCGCGATTGCGGCAGGCTTTCAGCAAGCCTTTCACGAAGCCTCTAGAGCCCGATGCATCAGGAGTTAGTGCGCCCGAAGGGAGCAGGCGGCGGAAGCAAGAGCGAGGCGTCAGCAGTTTGGGATTCAGGGGTTTCGGAGTCGGCCAATCTCACGACGGTCACCATCGATATACTTACAAGTGTGTCGCGATACAGGGGGGATGGGTACGCCCTGACGCGGCGACGTGGCCTTAGCTCGGACGTTCAAGGTTAAGCGCCCCCAGTACCCCAGAATGGGCCGACATTGACAGTGCTGCGCAACCAGAAAGCCACAGTCGTTCAGGGTTGATCGATGCACGTGGTGCCCGAAACCTCCGCTCAAATCTTTACAAGACGATTCTGCCGTATCTCAACAGCCACTGGACAAGCTTCCCCCGACAACCGACGTCGCCACGGCGTCACACAACATCTCGCATGGCTTTCGGCCCATCCCGCTACCGTTCCTGGATTATGTGTCTGAGGCCTCTTGGATGGTCGTTGGACCTCTCGGGGGTCTCCTGGAGGCAGTTTTGATGCCTCTCAGGGGCTGTCTTGGGGCCTCTCGGGGCCTTGTTTGGTCCTCTTGGGGGCTCTTGGGGCCTTTTCGGAGCCTCTTAGGAGCTTATTTGGGCCTCTTGGGGGCTTCCTGGGGCCTCTTAGGACCTTCTGGGCGCCTTTTGGAGTGGAAGGTCTGGATCAGGCCCCTCTAGGGACAGTCTTGGGGCCCTCTCGGACCGGCTTGGGGCTCCGTCTTGGGGCCCTCTGGGGGGCTCTGGGGTCGTCTTGGGGCGGTCTTGGGGGCCTCTTAGGACGACTTGGAGCGTCGGAAACTAGAAAATCGGAGAACCCCCAAACCATTAATAAACCCACTGGGAATCAATGATTTTGGCCTCTCGGGGCCCTCTCGGGGAGGCTCTTGGAGCTCTCGTGAGGCGCCTCGAAGGCTTCGCAGGCTGTCCCAGAGCCACCTTGGACGTGTTGGACCGATCGTGCGGCGATTCGAAGCCCCATTGGGCCGGCTGGGCGCCCTCTTTGGGACCCTCCGGGAGGCCCGGGGCCATCTTGGCCCCGAAGGAGACGCCCCGGCCACGCGGCGCGCCCCGACCGATTCGGCAATTCGGGGTGCGGGCTCCTTGCAGTGGAGACCCAGGCCAAGAATCACCCTGCTTGCCACTAAGGGTGCCGTGCGATTCTTGCGTTTCGAGGTTTTTCCTATGGGAGGCGTGACGCTCCCACACCAAAAATCAATGGACGTCCTGGGGTCTCAGGGTTGGGCTTTCTCATGGAAGGTTTCTTGTGGTCGAGCTCCTATGTACTGTAGGGTGTAGGACGGGGGCTCAGAGGTTGAGCAAGGGTCCTGGGGACACTCCACTTCGTGCCACAGGTCGGGGGAGGAAAAGGTACCCAATTTGCTACCCTTCGCCCGTTTTCCCCTCGTTGGGCCTCCTGGGATGCCCTCGTCGCCACCGCTGGATTCGCCTCGAATCCTGGTCAGAACGCACCCCTAGAGAGGTCCGGGGGGTAGCAGTATCGGTATCTTTTTGGGCTCCCCCAACAAAAGCACGGTGGCTGATATTGCCTGAACTCCCGACCCCGCCATCGCGCGGGATTCACCTCAGCCGGATCAGCCCGCGTCCAGCGTTGTGTTCACGAAGCTTAAGTCGGCCTTGTCCTTCTACAGGAGGAACATTCAAAGATAGCAAAGGAATAGTGTGGGGACCATGTTTCGTTTATTCCCTACCTGGGCTCTGCCTAGAGGGTTCTCACTCGCTGGGCTTAAAGGGGCCCGGCAGTGGGCTTCGCCCCGGGCGGTTCCCCCGGTCCCCGCCCCGTGGTTCCCCCAGTTGCGCCCCATTACCTTAGCTTTGCGTATCTCATCTTAGCTTAGCTTAGCTTAGCTGAGCTTAGCTTCATCTTAGCTTCGCGTAGCTGTAGCTTAGCTTTGCTTAGCTTAGCTTAAATTAGCACCGATCTGGGAGCTGCTGCTGCTATACAATGTCGTAGGAACGTTCGGTGTAGCAAGTGTTGCACAACCTTGCTCAATGCCAAGTCGTGCGGTGTGGACCAGATACGGAGCATTCTCAAGCACACCCGGTGAACGAATGCGAAAACATGCGTGTGTGTGTGTGTGTCTGTGCGCAGGCAAAGCAAACACAGGATCAAACAACATCAACAACAAAAACAATACACAAGCAACAGCAACAACAAAAGCAAAAGCAAAGGCAAAGGCAAAAGCAAAGGCAATAGTAATAGCAAAGGCAATGCAGAGCAAACACAAAACCAATGCGAAAGTGTAGATGTAGATGTAGGTGTAGATGTGGTGTAGATGTAGATGTATATGTAGGTGTAGGTGTAGGTGTAGATGTAGGTGTATAGGTAGATGTATATGTGAGTCTCGCTGTCGATGTAGATGCAGATGCAGGTGTAGATGTAAATGCAGCTGTCGGTGTAGATGTAGATGTTGCTTTCCTAAATGCTCCAACTCCTAGGTAGGGTCGCATTGGGATGCTTGTTTGAGTATGTTTAAGCATGTGTTGGCTTGGTTTAATCATTCGCCCAGCATCCGCCTGTGGCGGGGACATGCCCGACCTAACACGAAGCCCAGGTCGGACGTCTTCCAGGGGCCCCCCAAGAAGAGCAGAACATAACAAGCATGTCGATCGCCTGCAAATGCTGTCTGTGGCATGAGGAGAAGGGGTCCTGTCTGGAACGGGTCCTGGTCCTTGGGGCTCTCCCCGCAGAGTGCCCCACCGCCCGAAAGTTGATAAATATCGACGGAGCCCGTTGTCTGCTGGACCTGTTCTCTTCAAACCGAGTTGTGGTCGGGAGTCGAAAATGGACCCCTGGCTTGCCCAAGGAGACATCCTGACCAGAATCCCGATGGGAATCCAGCCGTGGCGACGAGAATCCCCCAGAGCCGGCCCCCCCAAACAACAAAAAATTAGAATCGAGCTTCGACCGCCGTCGTCGTCGCCAAGCTGAATGCCACTGCTTCGTGCTGAATGAATGTCGCTGCCCAGTGGGATCGTTCACCCCCGCCGAGGAGGTGGTGGCGCCCCCGCGGCGGCCGCCCAGCAGGCGGAGCGGACGACCGACGCCGACCTGCAAGACAACGACGTCGCCGTCGATGGCTGGGGACGACGTCGACGACGACAACGACGACGACGCCGGCGACGACGGCAGCGACGACGACGGCAGCGACGGCGACGACGACCATGTGGCGCTTGTGACGACGGCGGTGGTAACGGCGGCAACGGCGGCGCCGGCGATGGCGAGGACGATGGCGAGGAGGAGGAGGAGGACGACGACGACGGCCATTACCACGACTGCTGGCCTCTCCTCCAGCGTTGCATTTGTTTCGGGGCGCGGGCCACCGAGGATCTCGACCGCTTCCCGCGGATCAGCTTGTCATCCTGAGCTGCTTTTTGACGGTCCCCAGGCCGGAGAGCGGCCCCCAGGGGCCAGAGACGGCGACACAGCGGCCATCGCGATGTTTGGCGTCGCACAGATTCGAGGCTGCTGATGGGTCGACGGCGAAAGGCGACGACGGCCAGGCTGACGACGACTAGGCTGACTACCACGAAGCTGGATACACATGACGTGGCCAGCCTGGGCGAGAGCTGGATACACGCGTGGCCACGTGTCTTTGTCAGCGCTCGGCCCTCGTGCGGCCAGCCACGGTGATCCTCCACATGGGGCATTCCAGAAACGGCCTCGCCCTCGGCGCATCTCGTCCTCGCCGGAAGCTCGCGGCGGCCTGCGGAAGTCAAAAACGTCGGCGGCTCCACCGCCGGAGGGCCAGCGGAAGCCGGCGGCAGTAAAACGTGCGCCCCCAAGAGGTGAACATATGTTTTGGTTCGGGATTTCCGGAACCCTCCATACGTATGCCCGGCAAGAGGCCTCCGAATGTTCCACACGTTAAACCAGCCATGCGTGTTTGCGGGTTCTGGTGTGTAGGACGGCGGCGGCGGCGACGACGACCAGGTGCAGCCAGGCCCCGCGTGCCCCTGCGGCGCCGGCCCGACGCAGATCCTGACGGCCCGGAGCGCGGCGAACAGCGGCAGGCGCGCGGCTGTGTCGGGGGGCTTCCAGGGTCCACTTCAAGGGCAAAGTTAGGATGGGGGTAGCCCCAGGGGGGACGCTATGGGTCCAGGTTCGAGGCTCGAAGTGTTCGGGTGTTTTTGTTCGTCAGTTCTCGGCTCCTACAGCCTCGGGGTGCCTTCCAGCACCTGCGCCTCGCCGAGAGCGTCACAGGGGTGCCCGCATCGCCCCGAACGGCCGCGGGAGGCCCAAGTTATGTCCAGGAAAGCATCAGGGACAGGGATAGGCTCGGTGGTGACGCATCGACCCCCCCAGTCGCCCACGCATCCCCGATAGGGCCCCGATACCCACTCCGCCCAGCAAAGTTCGGATTTGCTATCGAGGGCTTATCGCCGATCTGTCGGCGACGTATCGCCGATTCCAGCTCGACGTTTCTCCCCCCCCCCGAGCAGGTCCCCCCCCGAACATGTCACCCTCACCATTTCGATCCGATCGATCCCATTCGATGTCGGTTCTGGCAGGCCCGATTCGAGGCCATGTCGCTTTGCTAGCGACCCGATGCGGCACCGTGTTTGCATGGCGCTGCTTTGCATCCTAGCGTAGCTGATTTGATTCAAGTTTGACTCCGCGCCCTCGGTTGCAACTTCTACATCGGCGTAGTATGAGGTTACATTCAGCATCGGCGCTGGACTATCCCCTGTCGGAAAAACGCCCTACCCGGGCCCGATCCCGCTCAATCGGGTTAAGTATTGGGCTGGACCTTGGGCTACAACTTGGCCTGATCTAGCTTAGCGACCATTTCAATCGGCCCTTCTTTGAGGGAGCTTGTCTTGAGAACTCACGGCATCATGACCCCCAGCGCGCGAGGGAATGGGCCCGCCAACCGCACCCCTTGTTCCGTGCCCCGGAAACCGGGGCAACAAATTCCAAACCGCCGCCTTCGCGAGGACCATCCTTAGAAAGCCAGCCCCCAGAGCCTCCCCAGGCCCTCAGAGGGAAATCCGGCAAATCCGGAAAATCCGGCGATGAATTCCGAACCGGCGCTTTCGTGTGGGAGATCCTAAGAAAAGCGGCCTCCCGAACCTCCTTTGTTCCGTTTCTGGGAAATCCGAGACATCCAGCGACGAATTCCAAACCGGCGCCCTCGCATGGGACATCCTCCGAAAACTGGCCCCCCGAGCTTCAAGGAGGCCCTCAGAAGCGCACCAGGGCGCACTGGGCGTGTCCTAATCCGGGGCTCTCGCTCGAGACATCCGCCCAAAGTCGACCTCCCGCGCTCGCGAGAAAGTGAGGCCCCACAGCGCAGGAACCATTTCTGGGGATCTGCCGACGCGCGCACCCTGACCTTCCAGAGAGCTATTTTTTAGCACTGGAGACCTAAAAACCTAACAAGCTGAGCGAAACGGCCTAAAACCAAGACGGTAGAATAGCTCTGGGATAGGTTTTTAGGCCGCGTGCTATTTTTTTAGCCCTCCTGGAAGGTCAGGGCAGGAGCGCGCCGGGGCGCACCGGGCGTTTCCCAGTCCAGGGCTCTCGCTCGAGGCATCCTCCCAAAGTCGACCCCCCCGCGCGCGCGAGAGTCAGGCCCCACCGCGCCACGCACTGGCCATTTTCCTGTGAGCTGCCGGCGCGCCGCGGGGGCGCGCCGAGGCGTGTCCCAGTCGGCTCTCGTTGGAGACCTCCTCGCAGAAGTCGACGCGGGCATGTCAGAATCTGTGGCTCCCGCTCGAGACAGCCCCGCAAGTCGCCAAGTCGCCCCCCGGGTGAGGCCCTCGAGGACAATGGCAAGGATGAGCTGGAAGAGAGATGTAGGAGGACGGAGGAGGGGGAGGAAGACGAGGGCGAGGAGGAGGAGGAGGAGGAGGAAGAAGAGTAGGGCGGAGGAGGAGGAGGGCGGAGGAGGAGGAGGACGAGGGCGAGGAGGAGGCGGAGGAGGAGGAGGCGGAGCAGGAGGAGGTCTTAGTGGGCCCCGGAAACGGCAGGGCCGTGTTTTGCCGTTTCCGAAAAAAAGTGTCTCTCGAAAACGGAATCGGCAAAAAAACGGCGATTGGAAACGGCAAAAAAACGGCGGCTCGTACCACAGCCGGAACCGGTCAAAAATCGGCGACGGAACCAGTAACAACAACGGCGTCCGTTGGAATCGGCGAAATAACAGAAAAACGGAACCGGTAAACTTACGGACCTGTCTTTTCCAGGGCCTATTAAGGAGGAGGGGGAGCAGAAAGGGGAGGAGGAGAAGGAGGGGGAGGAGGAGGAGGAGGGGGAGGAAGACGAGGGCCAGGAGGAGGAGGAGGAGGAGGAGGAGGAGGAGGAGGAGGAGGGGGAGGAGGACGACCAGGGACCTCACGAGATTTCCAGGGAGGATATGGAGGAGGTGGCGGTTGCCAGCATAGAAGCGGGAGGCGGGAGGGGCTGGATGCCACCGCCTGTTGGTCATTCTCGCCCGCAAGTGCACGCCCCTTTTCCTAAAACAGAAACTCCCAATCAACCGCAGAGCGGCTAGTAGCGTTTAATCGTTCCCGCTAGACCTCCCACGAGTTATCTGAGACCTTTACTTCTCCCCTGGTAATAACGAGCGTGCCCGCGAGGGGGCCGGAGAGGGGGAGGGGGGGAGAGAACTGGTCACGTCACGATTCGCGCCAGCAACGTCTGGGAATGCCTTGGAATGGCTCATTCCCAGACGGCGCCGGGGCAAAATCGTGATCGGCGTGACCGTGAATATTTTCATAAGAGGCCTTTATGCTAATGTGCCGATGCAGCCTGATCCGACGCACATGTCGATGCGACTCCAACTCCCGATTCGGCGCCGGCCGATCCTGCCTCTCCAGACCCCCCGGCCCCCCTCGAGGAGCGACAACCAGAGTTGGTGGACTGATGTTCGAGGATCGAGCATTGAGCATCGAGGGTCAGTGATGGAAAACCGAGGGTCGAGGGTCGGCCCAGTGATTTCTCCTGGAGGATCGAAGCTTGAGAAGCGAGGGACATGGTTCGAGGATCGAGGATCGAAGCTCCAGGTTCGAGAAGATTTGGGGAGGGAGGGAGGGAAAGGGAATGAGAGAGAGAGAGACAGGAGGGTGCTTCGTTCGTATCTGTACAGTTGTATATATATATAGAGAGAGAGAGAGAGAGAGCGACAGGAGGGTGCGGCGCATCTGTGCAGTTCTAGCAAGAGAGAGAGAGAGAGAGAGAGAGAGACAACAAAAAACAAAACACAAAAAACAGAGACAGAGACAGAGAAAGAGACAAAGACGGAGAGGCAGAGACAAAGGCAGAGGGGCAGAGACAGAGACAGAGAGAAAGAGAGACAGCGAGAGAGAGGGGGGGGGGGCACCTCCAAACACTGGAGTTGGGTAGCACGAGGGAGAGAGGAGGGTGGGGGCGGGGGAGAAGCAGACCCGAAGGGACTAGGAGGCGGCGTGCGGGGGGGGCAGGAGGAGGCGAGGCAGCCTCCGCCCGGCACCCGCTCCTTGGGCGCGCTCGGGGAGGCAGTTCGCCAAGTGCCCGCGGGCGGGCCGGACCCCGGGCAGCGACAACGGCTGCGGCTTCTTCCAGTGGCTGGACGAGGCCCGGCTGCGCGTTAAGTCGCGCAGAGGCGAGGCGTCCTGGCGTGCCCAGGGGCCCACCAAGCAGCGTTCTGGGAGCCTGCTGTGGTCTGCACGAGATGTGCCTAGAACACTTCTGGCTGAGACTGGGGGACGGTCGGTCCCTGCTCAAGCTAGGAGTGGCCCTTCGCCGGAGCTCCGAGGAGGAACGCCAAGACTCACCGAGCGCGTTCCGCTACTCGCAAAGTGCCTACTCGCAAGCGTCCGCAGAACACACGCCTGCCTCCGATGTGACAGATCGTAGATCCCTCGCGGTGGAGCCAGGCCGTTTGCGGGTGTGTTCACGTATTTACTTTTTGCGAATAGTGGACCGGGCTTGTCTACGGACATGTTCGCGTCTTGGCAAAAGTGGGAACGGGACGTTTTTCGTCGCTTTCGCCCTCTGGGACCTCGCCGGGTCCTGGGTTTGTCAAAAAACGACCCAGGATGAAAACCGGCATTGGAGAATGAGTCGGGATTTTAGGGACCACGTATGGAAAACAATCAAGATATCGCATGTCTGGGAAGGTATTGCTACCGCTCCCCTTGCCTCGTTTTTGCTTGTTGGGGCCTCATGGGAGGCCCTCGTCGCCACCGCTGGATTCGCCTCAAAATTTTGGTCCGAATGCAGCCCAGGAGATGTCCGGGGAGTAGCCGTATCGGTGCCTTCTCGTTTCGTTTACCCAGGAGCAGCCCGGAGGGTGTGTCCTCCTCCACCTTGGGGCTCAGGGGCAACGTTAAGATCGAGGCCTTCTAGATGGGGTCTGGTCAGATGGGATCGGAGGATCGCACCGCATCGCCGATGCATCGACGATGGGGTTCGATGTGGAGCCAGCCCGATTTTCCCACGCCGACGTCGTGGACGCGTCGCCGATGCATCGCCGATGCATCGCCGATACATCGGCGATGCATCGGCGATGCAGCGTGATCCGTCGACCCCGTCTGGGCGGACCCCATCCAGGAGGCCTCTGTAGGAGGGGATGGGCTCAGGGGGAGGCGCATCGACCCGCACTGGCCCGTGGATTGCCGATGGGCCTGACAGCCCACCCTGCCCAGGCGCGCACGGGCTCACCATCGAGGGCCATCGCCGATCTATCGGCGATGTGCCGTTGGCTCCAGCTCGATGTTTCCCCCCTGATCCAGTCCTCGAGTAGGGGATCGATTACAGAATTCATGTACCCCCAACTTGATGCTCCCCATCGGATCTACGACGAAAGCCTGAGATGATCGCAGATCGACTGAGAATTCTGAGTATTTTCCGTATAGTCGACGCGAGAAATAATTTTGGGGTAAGTAATGAATTCTGTAGCCGATCCCCTACTCGAAGTCGCCACCCCCGATCGCTCCCCCTCAGCAATGAGTGGCCCTTCGTTGGAGCAGCCCCTCTGGGGGGTTCTCCCTGGGGCTGTGTGCTCAGATCAGGGGTTTTCGGGCGCTCTCGTCGGGTCCCGCAGGTTTTCTCGCTTCGGGATGACTTCCTGCAGCTGCGCCTCGTCGAGAGCGTACCGCCGGTGCCCGAATCGTCCCGACGGGCCGCCCAGGGGCCCGAGCCATGGCCCGAGCGCCAGACCCCCGAGCGACGGAGTGGCCCCTTGCCGGAGTGGCCTCTGGGCGCGGGCCCGCCGGGGTCCCCCCCCTCCTCCTCCTCCTCCTCCTCCTCCTCCGCCTCTCCTCCTCCTCCTCCTCCTTCTCCTCCTCCTCCTCCTCCTCCTCCTCCTCCTCCTCCTCCTCCTCCTCCTCCTCCTCCTCCTCCCCCCATGACTGGACGGCGCGCCTGGATCCTGCACCACTCCGAAGCCGCTCTTGCCTGAGAATGCCACTCTTCGAGCAGAGGATGTCGACTACAGAATCGATTTACTCCAGAGTTGGTTTTCTCGTCGAAACCGTGCGTGAAATACGTTGACTGGTCAGCAGAGCTATGGAGCACTGCAAGTGTGTCCCGTAGAGAGAGCGACGGGAAAGCAGTCTTGGGCTAGACAGAGTCTGTAGCCAGTCCCCTGCTCGAGCTCCTGGCGTGCAGCCCTGCAGGCCCAGCTGGGGGCAGGCGGCGGGTTCGCGCCTCCGCCCGGCGGGGCGCCCGCGGGCGGCCACGCAGGCGGGGTCGCCCGCCAGGGGGGCGGGAGCAGAGGGGAGGAGCACGACGCGCAGGGCTCATTTCGATTGCCCCGATTCGATTCGATTCGATTTCGATGGATTCCGATTCCGATTCGATTCGACTTGGGATTCCGATACGGGTTCCGATTTCTCATTGGATGCATACAAGCCTGCCGATTTCAGCCGATTCGATTCCTTTCGACTTGGCTGCCGATTTCCGCCGATCCGACTAATTTCGATCGCCGATTCGACTTATCGATTCGATTCTGGGCTCTTCTGGACGCGGGACGACGTGCGGTCGGGACTTTTTTGACTCTCAGCGTGTCGCACCGCCGGCTTCGGTCCACCACGCTCTGGCGCGACACGCTATCCTTCAGTCGGGCATGTCCCTGCACAGGAGGAGTGTGCACGAATGATGAGACAATTGTCTGGTTACGATGTTCGCGCTCTTTTCATTCAATTTTGACCCATTTAGGATTGTGTGATTGAATTGTCGGCCAAAACCCGCCTGTAGGAGGACATGGTTTTGGCGCGACACGCTGTCCATCGAAGAAGAAAAACGGGATAAACAGGAACCTGTGGCGCTCAGCGCGGATTTCTTGGATACGCGCTGGCCCCCCCCCAGCGGCGATTCGCCACACCTTCCTGGCGGGCTCCGCGCGCCAGGGAGGGGGGTCCAGCGCAGATCTGATTAATTTGCGCGGAGCGCCACACGTTTATGTTTATGAAGTTTTGTGTTCCCTACATAGGCTCTGCCTAGAAGGGTTCTTACTCTCTTAGCTTAAAGGGCCGGGCAGTGCTAACCGCCCTGGGCGGCTCCCCCAGTCCCCGCCCCGCGGTTCCCCAGTCCCCTGAGAGCTTCAGCTTTAGCTTTAGCTTTAGCTTAGCTTTAGCTTAGCTGCACCTTAGCGTTAGCTTAGCTTTAGCTTAGCTTTAGCTTTAGCTTTAGCTTAGCTTTAGCTTAGCTTCAGCTTAGCTTTAGCTTAGCTTCAGCTTAGCTTCAGCTTAGCTTTAGCTTAGCTTTAGCTTAGCTGTACCTTAGCTGTACCTTATATTTAGCTTGGCGTTAGCTGAGCTGCACCTTAGCTTTAGCTTAGCTTTAGCTTAGCTTTAGCTTAGTTGTAGCTTAGCTGTAGCTTAGCCTTTACCGTAGCTTTAGCTTAGCTTTAGCTTAGCTTTAGCTTAGCCTTTACCGTAGCTTTAGCTTAGCTTTAGCTTAGCTTTAGCTTATCTGCACCTTAGCTTTAGCTCAGGTTTAGCTTAGCGGTAGCTTAGCCTTAGCTTAGCCTTAGCTTAGCTTTAGCTTAGCTTTAGCTTAGCTTTAGCTTAGCTTCATCTTAACTTTAGCTTACCTTGAGCTTAGCTTAGCTTAGCTTTAGCTTAGCTTTAGCTTAGCTTTAGCTTAGCTTTAGTTTAGTTTTAATTTAGCTTTAGCTTAGCTTTAGCTTTACTGTTCGTACTAATGCTGCTTTCCTAGGGGCTCCAACTCCTATGTAGGGTCGCACTGGGATAATTGTTTCATTACCTAACAGCGAAGACTGATAGGTTTCTAGTAGGCTCAAAAAAAAACATCTTGACTCCCCAGGGGGGTCTGGGCAGATGCCGGACGGGTGCCGGGGAGAATCCGCGGAAGTCGTTTTAAGTAAACAGTTGCACACTTCGTGGTCTTCGAGGTCCCAGAACTCCATTCCCGGGCCACAGTCTGAATGCCCGGAGCCAACTGTAGGCCACTTCGTGCTCTTCGAGTTCCCAGAAATTTACTCCCGGGCCACATTTTGAATGCCAGGAGCCAACTGTAGGCCACTTCGTGCGCTTCGAGTTCCCAGAACTCCATTCCCGGGCCACATTTTGAATGCCCGGAGCCAACTGTAGGCCACTTCGTGCTCTTCGAGTTCCCAGAACTCAATTCCTGGGCATGATTTGCAATGCCCGGAGCCAACTGTAGGCCACTTCGTGTTCTTCTAGTTCCCAGAACTCCATTCCTGGGCCACATTTTGAATGCTGAGGCAGGCTGATGCTGCGGCCGAGGCAGGCTGAGGCTGAGGCAGGCTGAGGCTGAGGCCGAGGCTGAAGGCAGACTGAGGCTGAGGCTGAAGCAGACTGAGGCTGAGGCTGAGGCAGGCTGAGGCTGAGGCTGAGGCAGGCTGATGCTGAGGCAGGCTGAGGCTGAGGCTGAGGCTGATGCAGGCTGAGGCTGAGGCAGGCTGAGGCTGAGGCCGAGGCTGAAGGCAGACTGAGGCTGAGGCTGAAGCAGGCTGAGGCTGAGGCTGAGGCAGGCTGAGGCTGAGGCAGGCTGAGGCTGAGGCTGAGGCAGGCTGAGGCTGAGGCTGTGACTGCGACTGCCGTTGCCACTGCGACTGTCATCGCGAATGCGACTACGACTGCGAGAACAGCAGAATTCTACAACTGGATTCTCATCTGAATCTTAAGGGGAATGCTTCCAGATATGCTCCTACACATCGCTGTTAGGTTGCTTTGCCGGGATAATCTTCTCATCTACGCCCCAGTCCTCGAGCGTCAAGCGTCTCGTGGTTTTCCCACCTCCCGTCCTGCGGAACGAAGCGACACGATTTCCACTCGCAAGGCACAGCGTGTCGCTGGGGCCGCCGCAGCGACACGTGATGCAACAGTTCCAATCCGTAAACGCGTAGGGTCGGGCGGATTTTTGATATCGGCGCTGGACCCCCCTATCTGGCGCGCGCAGCGTGCAAGGGGCGGTGCCGGAGTCGCCTCCAGGAGTGCCCAGCGCCGATCCAAGAAATCTTCGTGGAGCCCCGAAGGTCGATGTTTAGGCAGGTTTGTTTCCTGTAGTCTATGCACCACCCCCAGATTGGAGGATTGAGAAGTAATGAAGTTGATAAGTTCCAATGGGTTCCAGACTTTCTTGTCGCCACCCGCGGCCAGAGACGAACCGCCGAATGCGGACAGCCGAGGGCCGTTAAAAATTGTGGGATTCCCCGAGTGTAACCTGAGCCTACCGCATCGTGACATTTCCTTCGCTCCACCAGGGTACACTCAGGGATACACGGGTACCGAAAGGGATGCACGATGCGATAGGCTTCGGATAACACTCGGGGATACACCGAGGAGGGGGGTCCACGGGTAACAACAGCAACGTAGAATGAGGTGTTCCACGGCTGGAAATGCTGAAAGCGTCCATGGTCCAGACGGCGTCTGCGGGGGTGGTGGAGGGGGGCGTCGGAGGCCACCAAATAACATCTTTGAGCTCCTGAAGTGAGGTGTCCATATGCGCACAAACAATCAGGCCAGACGAACGGGGGGGAACGCAAGGGCTACCTCGCCCTCCTCTGCACCTCCCTCCTTCCCTCCCTCCGTTTCGAATGCAACTCCTAGGAGGTAAATGTCTGACTTTGTCCTGGTCCGAAATCCGGCTGAATTCCGCTAAATTTGGCTTATCTGGCTTAATATGTGGCTGAATCCCGTTTAATCCGCGGTCTAATCCAGCGTAGTAGCCCCCCAATGGGGCTTAATGTTCATTAACCCTTTCGACGAAGATCTCCCAGCAGTTGCCTCCTACTCCTTGCCTCCCCCCGCCTTTCTCTCCCGCGCTATCCCTCTCCTCTGCGGAACCTGCTGCACGCAGCTGATGGTTTCGGCCCCACCGCAGGGCGCTCTCCTCGACGTGCCAGCAGGCGTCGGAACAAGCTTGTCGCACACAGCTGATTCGCCCCCCCCCCCCCCTATCCCCCAACCGCCCCCCGCCTTCCCCCCTTTCCTCCCCCCACCCACACACACACACACGCACACGCACACGCACACGCGCACACACACACACACAAACACACACACACACACATACACACACACACACACACACACACGCACACGCACACGCACACGCACACGCACACGCACACGCACACGCACACGCACACACATGCGTCGCTATTACCCCCCTTTCTTCTAGATCTTTGAGTATACAGGTCGCCCGATGGGAGCGCGAAGATCATAGCGCACTGCGCTCAGGGACGGGTAGCTCCCTTGCTCTCCCCTCAGAGGGCGCGAGGGAGCGATGACAACCGCTCGTCGCGGGGCGCCGTGTGCGAAGTTAGGTGGCCTCGAGGAATGAGGATCTCATCCCCCTCTATCCTCTCCTCCTTTCCTTCCTCCTCTCCTCTCCATGAGGCGGCGGATTGTTTACAAGATGCCCCGACATATGCGAAAACTTCGAGATCTAAAACATCATCCTTCTCTTCTTTCTCCTCATCGTCCTCCTGCCTTTGCTCCTCCTCCTCCTCGCACATGGATTTTCATCACAAGTTCGTCCTCCGCGTCGCGGCACCAGATATGTTGGTGGGGTGGCCGGGGCGTCCCGCCCATATCTCCCTCACCGCTTCTGGCCCCGAAGTTTGAGATGCACGCAACGACTAGAAGCACGGGGGGGCGAAGCGTTTGCACCATGTGGCTCTCGCCCTCTTGCCGCGTACATTCGTCATCAAGGCGCATCACGCGGACGGAGGGCTGCCTGTCGGTTTCAAACTGTGGCTCCCGTTCCCGTCCCGCACTTGAGCGGCTGAACAATTAGCAGCATCTACCAGGAGGGAGGGCGGGCCGTCTTCCATGTGCGCCTCTCCCCCCGTAGCGCCGCGCTCACTCGTCCGACAAGCTTCCGGCACTTCCAAGGATGCAGACTGGGTCGTCTTGGAATAGGGAGTGGGGCTTTTGCCCTTGAAGCTCTGAACTGCTACAGCAAGACGTAACCAATGTGCATCGCAACACATACGATAATGGAGCGCTGCTTCTGTTCAACGTTGCGCTCTCGCTCGAGACTCCACGGCAATATGACAAGACGTGTCTGCTTACGGAAGTGCTACACGGATTCTGCGCGGCTTCATTCAAACAGGGCAGTTCGTTACAGTTTCACTGAGTTGTGCGATTCTCCCTCTCCGTATCCCTACGACCAGAAGGATGCAGGGCAGTTCCTTTTCGAAACGTTGAATAGCGGCCCCGTGTGGCGCTCCGCTCATCTTTTGAACGGGGGCGTTTCTTGTTGTGGGAAGGGATGCCTGTAGGGACAGGCCGAGAGAATTGGGGACGGGAGGTTGTATTGCAACGTCGCTGGCGCATCCTGGTTTGAGTCTGGTCTTCCTCCTCCGTTTCCTAGTCCTCCTCCTCTTCCTCCTCTCGCCCCCCCTCCACAATTACTCAATATGGATACTACTCTCCTCTCCCCTGAGTCTGTGGCGGAATCTGTCTCGGAGTGTTCGCCCCCCTCCCGCGCGTATTGTTTTTGTGCACAGGATGTCGGCGAAGTGGGTTTTCGCTTGTGTTTGTTTTCAAAATGCTGCTCTCGCACAGGTGCTGGCCTCATTTTCGGGCTTCCGCTCGTTCCGAATCGTGCTCCCGCTTCAGCGTTGTCTTCATTTCCGCGCTTCTGCTCATTCCGAATCGTGCTCCCGCTGCAGCGTTGGCTTCATTTCCGCGCTTCCGCTCGTTCCGAATCGTGCTCCCGCTGCAGCGCTGGCGTCATTATTTCCATTGCCATGCCACGGCATGCTTTCCGGTCCTTCCAAATAGGCCCCAGAATCTATAAAATGGCCGCCCGAACAAACCATCAGAAGTGATTACACATTCGGTGTCAATTCGTTGATATTTGGGGCAGCAGAAGCCCCCCACTTTGGGGCGTCGGCACGCAATGCTATGTCATGCTACGCGTTGACCTTCAACGCCATGCTGTGCCATGTTAAGGTAGGGATGGGATGGGAGCGAGGGGTAGGACGTCAGATATGACGCGAGCGCACCCAGCTCGTCTCCGCCCCCGTCCCTCTCCTCCTCGCCCCTGAGGCGGCGGGTTCGCAGGCGCAGGAGCGGGCGGCCGGGCGGGCGACGAGTGCTACAAGTGCGGCCAGACGGGGCACTGGGCATCGAACTGTCCGAACGTGGACGCGGCAGCGCCCAAGGTCGGGGAAGAGCAGTTGCAGCAGGGGTGCGGGCGGCCCGACGAGGAGGAGGGGGGAGGAGGGAGGGGGGGGATGGGGTGGTGGAGGGGGAGAAGCTGAGTTACAATCAGGTGGGTGCAATACCCGAAGGTGGCGGAATTCTGCTGCGTCATCGCTGTTCGACGTTCCTGGCTCAGATTTCGTGAGATGTCTGCAGCGGGAGATCGCGTCAGATTTTCAGATTTGGTCCCGTCCTTTTTGTGGCAGCCACGGAAGGCAAATTCGAGTCCCCAGAGCTCCACTCGAACGTCTCCTCGGTACAAGTTCCCGTGCAGCCTGAGCATGCGTTGGGTTGCCTACGCTGTGCCAGGAGCAATGGTGCAGCATCGTGCAGCCCGACCTAGGGCAGGCGAGTGCAGAGCACCCCTGGCAACGGCAAGACAGAACTGTGCTTGGCCAGATGGAAGAAGCAGAGGCTGCGTGAAGAATGAGGGAAGGAGGATCCAGCCAACCATCTGCCACTTCGCCTGGTGGCTACCAGCGCCTGGGAAGAGCGCAGTACCCCCTCCGGAGTGGTAGGAGCCTCTCACTAGATTCTCGAATTATATCCTCCGGAAATGCTGCCTCAAGAAATGCGGAACTAATACGATGTATATCTGATTGCTGATTTCAGGGGATCCCACCAAGGGCCTAGGATTGTCCAGGAGCGCTCATGCAGAACCCCCCGAAATCGCACTTCCAGGCCGATTCGGTTGAAGCCTGCTGGACAGCATAGTCAGGTCCGAGCGTACACAGGCCACAATTCTTCACGGGCACGTCCGCGCTTGCCCCCACTGGGCTGTTGGCCTCCGACGGCGGTGCCCCCGCCCGGGTTCGCTTACGCGGCAGGTTACGCCCATCCCCCTGCCGGGCTGATTCGTCCTTGTCGCTACTGGACTGGTGGGCCCTGGAGTGCGCCTACCATGTGGCTTACCTATGGCCCTGGAGATGGCCTGCTGGTTTGTACGTCGCCCTCCCTTGTGTTCCAAGTTCCTGCTCTTCGGCAAGGTACTTCCTGTTCTTCGTCACCTGAGCCTGACCTCCTGCGCGTTCGTCTTCTCCTCTTTGTCTCTGTTGTTTCTCTTCTTTCGCCTTCTTCCTCTGTCGTTTCCTTCGCCCCCTCCCTCTGTTGTCTTTGCTCCCGCCTCTGCCGCGTCGCTGCTGTGCTTCGCCTGTTCATTCTTCCGCGTGTCGCCGGCGGCTACTGCCCTGTGCTCGACTCGTGCCTTCGACCCGTTGGACGGCGCGCAGCCATCTGCGTCGCTCGCGATCAAAAAGTATTCCCGCCAGCTCTCCTGACAGCTTCTGCAGCCTACCTTTTGCCCCCGGCGCCACTCAGCCTCCCTCGGCGACAGCCTCGACAACCGTGAGTGCGCTCGCTGGGTTATTGGGCTCCGCCCGTATCCCGGGTCGACCTTTGACGCCGCCTGCGCCGTCGTTTGCGGCTGCGACCAAAAAGTATCCCCACCAGCCGCCGTCCTTGGTAAGTGTGGCGCACTCGGACTTCCACTCGTCATGGTCATCATGTCTTGTTGGATGCTGAGCCCGCGTCTGTGCCGGGCGTTGTGCCGCTATTACCTAACAGCGTAGACTGATAGGTTTCTAGTTGACTCAAAAGAGCTCACAGATCACTCCACATGGGGGTCCGGGCAGGCGTTGGGAGTTGCCGGCCGGGCCTGTGCCGGGCTCGTTTTTCACCAACAGTCACACACTTCGTGCTCGTCGACCTCTCAGAACCCATTCCCAGGCCACATTCTGAATAACCGGATGCAACAGTCACACACTTGGTGCTCCATGACCTCCCAGAACTCCATTCCCGGGCCACATTTTGAATGCCCGGAGCCAACTGTAGGCCACTTCGTGGTCTTCGAGTCCCCAGAACTCCACTCCCAGGCCACATTTTGAATGCCCAATGCCAACTGTAGGTCACTTCGTGCTCTTCGAGTTCCCAGAACCCCATTCCCGGGCCAGATTTTGGATGCCCGGAGCCAACTGTAGGCCACTTCGTGGTCTTCGAGTTCCCAGAACTCCATTCCCGGGCCAGATTTTTGGATGCCCGGAGCAACTGTAGGCCACTTCGTGGTCTTCGAGTTCCCAGAACTCCATTCCTGGGCATGAATTTGAATGCCCGGAGCCAACTGTAGGCCATTCCCGGGCCAGATTTTGGATGCCCGGAGCCAACTGTAGGCCACTTCGTGGTCTTCGAGTTCCCAGAACTCCATTCCTGGGCATGAATTTGAATGCCCGGAGCCAACTGTAGGCCACTTCGTGTTCTTCGAGTTCCCAGAACTCCATTCCCGGGCCACATTTTGAATGCTGAGGCAGGCTGAGGCTGAGGCTGAGGCAGGCTGATGCTGAGGCAGGCTGAGGCTGAGGCTGAGGCTGATGCAGGCTGAGGCTGAGGCAGGCTGAGGCTGAGGCCGAGGCTGAAGGCAGACTGAGGCTGAGGCTGAAGCAGGCTGAGGCTGAGGCTGAGGCAGGCTGAGGCTGAGGCAGGCTGAGGCTGAGGCTGAGGCAGGCTGAGGCTGAGGCTGTGTCTGTGACTGCCGTTGCCACTGCGACTGTCATCGCGAATGCGACTACGACTGCGAGAACAGCACAATTCTACAACTGGATTCTCATCTGAATCTTAAGGGGAATGCTTCCACGTATGCTCCTACACATCGCTGTTAGGTTGCTTTGCCGGGATAATGTTTTTCATTGTTGGTTCGGCGCGGCCCGCCCTAGCTTTGCCCGGCGTTCGACCCGCTTTGCGAGGGCCTCTTCGGCCAACCTTGGGTCCGGGGGGGGGGGCGAGGATATGGAGGAAAAGGAGGAGACACACCGCCTCTTGGGGCCCTGCTGGGGCGCTCTTGGGCCGCTTTGGGGGCCCTCTTGGGGCCGCCTTGGGGCCCTCTTGGGGCCCTCTTTGGGCTCTCTGGGGGGCTATTGGGAGCCCTGGAGGGCCTCTTGAGGCCAAGGCTATCGATCAAAGGAGGGGGGGCCTAGATTTCCATCCGTCCCCCCCCTGGGGCCATCAAAATCGCCTTCTTGGGGCGCGCTGGGGCCGCTCTTGGGCGCTTTTGTGGCCGTATGGGGGCCTTTTGGGCCCATCATACGCCTCGGGTGGGCCATCTGGGGCCATATTGAGGTTTCGAAAGCGCATCGGGTGCGAAAGTGCGCGAAGGCACGGATCATTGATTTTCCTTCGGTTGTTGGAGGATGCTGGCCCGCGGGAGGGTCCTTAAGGGGATCTGGGAACATTTGGAACCGTCTTGTAGCCCTCGTCGGGCCTCTTGCAGGTATGTCGAAAATCGAACGTTTTTGTGTGAACCGTCGCTGGCTACCTCGAGCCATTTTAGGACCATCTTGGAGCATTTCGGGCCCTCTTGGGAGCATCTTGGGCCATCTTGGACGCTGTAGCCCCTCCGCCCCCCTTCCCACAAACAGGGACGGCAGGAGGAAGGTACCCCTACCCGAAGGGAATTGGGTTTTGGAAGAGGACAGACAGAATTCGTTAGACCACCTTTTCCGAAAGGGTGGTGGGATTAAAGGACCACTGTGTCAACATGCCTGACGATGAAAGCAGGTGCAACGCATGCATGGGAGCGCCGCAATTGTAGAAACTGAAGAAATGCGCCCAAATCCGCGAACAACTAAACAATGTGTCGACATAAGTGGCAGGAGGAAAAGAGCGCCACACATGCCATTGGGTGTATGGGAACTCGTGGAGGAACAGCGCAATGCCATGGACGAGCTCTGGCAAAACGACTGGGAGGCTTGCGGCGGCAACCGTTCGGAGAATGCGCTTGCTTGTCCAGAGCATGTGTAAATGGCGGCGCGCCCCCAATGGTGCGGGCACTTGCGTTTTGCTGGGCCCACCGCTACCTGAGGGCGTTGCGTGGATCATTTGGCGACAGCACACGCTGCAGACAGATATCATTTCAGTCACAACCATCTGGCACGAGCGAACGTTCTTCGAGGAAGTGGAAGTGGCAGGATATCTTTGTAATTTGACCACGGCCGATGAACATAATGTCACGTGCGACGACAAGGATGAGTTTGTCCATCGGGCGCTGGATGGCATGGCGAGCATGGGCGTTGGCACTGACGTCGCGCAGGCATGGGCGTTGGCACTGGGCGTGCTGGTTTCTGCATTATGTTGGCACTTGCGTTGTCCTTGTGACCGCCTGTAGGAAGGCAATGCCGCAGGCACGCGCAAGGCCCAGTGCCGTTCAGAAAGTGTGAGAACATGTGCAGACAAGGAACTCAGCGCGCATGACAAGTACATCCTGGTCTTCAGCAAAGGTTTTGGGCAATGCGGCGCAAATTCTTCAGAAGAACCGATGGTCCAGCTTCTGTTCCAGAGTAGCGCGCTACGCAATGCCGAACCTCATTCGTGTGCTTTGAGCGTCCGAGTGCCACCGACGGCCGCGACAATGCCTCTGCCAGCGTGCTTCAGACCGCTACGACTTGGAACGCACAGCAGCCTCGAGCGATCTGTGCCGCTCGGCTATCGACTTCAGCGTGTGCGTGCGGCGTGCTCTTTACGACTGCAAGCTGGGCTGGCAAGATTCAGGAGGGAAACAGCACAGGCGAAAAGAATGGACGATTCACCGGACAATCTGGAAAATAAGGGGAGTGGAGCGGAAGACGAACATCCAGGGAATATAGTAAAAGATTGGGAATCTTGGGGTGTGTGTGTGTGTGTGTGTCTATTCATGTGTGTGTGTCCCTGGGCCCTTCCAAGAAAGGTGCCCTGGGCCACCAGCTGGGGAAGCTGTCAAGGTGTACCGCTGGTGCCCCGCCACCGGCGGAGGGAGGAGGGCCTGCCCTGTGCGCGGCGGGGCTGGCGTTGTGCAGGGCAAGTTCCCGAATGCCTCCTGTCGGCGGCGAGCCTGCGGGGGAAGTGATCTGGGGCGGGCCTTCTCAGAAGGCTCGGAAGCTCCCCGGCCTTCAGGCTTGGAAGTCCCCCAGCCTTCTGAGAAGTGTCCTAAGCTTCCCCCGAAGGCACAGCAAATGCCTCAGAAGGCCTCCGGCCTTCTGAGAAGCCTCGCCGACTTCCTGAGAAGGCATCCTCCCTCTCGCTTCCCCGCCTCGCT